TTCACATGATTCCCTCTTTCTTCTTTCTCCTCCTGCTACTCCTCCTTTTTTCTACCTCTAGCGGCTAATATAATGAAAGAGATACCAAGCCAACTTACGCACGCTCTTTTTGGACGCTCTGCTCGTTTCATTTGGACTATTATTCCACGCGGCCGGTGGCCCGATGTCGACTTCGTGGCGTATGCTCTCATCCTTTACCCCTCAAAACAAGCAAAAGCTCTATTTCTCTTCCGTTGACTCATCCTCATCTTTCCACCCACCATTTTTTCTGCTTATAAAATACACAAGCCAAACGCGCCGATATATAGCGAGATTAAATTTTAGTTAAGTAATGTTTCAACTCGATTTGTTCGTTTTCACTCGCCAAAAGCGTGTCACGTAAAGGCTAAAGTCACCATAGCGACGTCTTTTTCGCTTTAATTTCCCCGAGTAAACAGCGAGAAAAGCAGTCTGTGATTTCTCACAAACGGAGCGAAGCAAAACTCTCTCTCTCTCTCTCTCTCTCTCTCTCTCTCTCTCTCTCTCTCTCTCTCTCTCTCTCTCTTTCTCTCCTCTTCTCTCTATCGACTAGCCCGAGCGCGGATTGTCTTGCCAAGACGAACCAAACGCAACAACTTTTCCGTTGTCTCCTTCAAATGATGCCAAGCTGCTTCTCTCTTGCTGATATCTCGAGTACCTTGTCTTTCCACCGACGAAAGCTTTGGCTAGTATGCGACATGTCGTGGCATTCCAATCACAACAAGCTTTCAGCTTGCGCGCCCGAAAATAATTTGTCGCGTGCTCCATTGTCTTTCTCAGTCGCGGCCGCGCGAAAGCTTGCAGCCTCCAACTCTCCTTCTCTCTCTCTCTCTCTCACTCTCTTGTCGGTCCGGATGCGCGCGAATGCCATTAAAGCCCTGACCTGATTCGATCAAGTTCGGACACTCTCCTACTCCCGCCGCCCGCGATCAGCTTGCAACCAGCGATCGACGAAACTGGGCCGCGGACTCGTGCATTATAAAATTCACTATATCCTCGTCAGCTACCGCATTTATTTTTATCCGCTCGTTGTGTCTTGCGAGAGGAATCCTATACTTTTGTGTATTCTTTTGATATTTCGGTCTGGTTTGTCAACTAATTAAAGTTGTAATGCCACGATCACTTATCGTAGTCTTCAAAAAGCTCGAAAAAAATATTCTAACCACAAATATTTTCTTTCAATCGTTTGAATAGCTATTGACATTTGAGCAAATCACGAACAAAGTGATTTCTCTGTATTCCCTTTGTGCTGCTATCAAGAGTGACTATCGTCGAAAGCTCACAATAAGAGTAGAATAAAAAACAAAGGATAACGAAGAGAGAACGAGAGACAGAGAGAGTTATACGGAGAGTTGAGAATGGGTGCTTAAGCGAAAGGCTGAAATCGCTTTATGGAATTTGTGGCACTTTACGCACGCGTAAACGGCGATGAGAGGGGGAGAGAAAGAGAGAGAGCTGCGTAATTTGTCATGCTTCTCTCCGGGCCACAGTAGCATTTTATTTGTGTTTGTCATTTTAGCGAAAATTGAAATAGGCGAAAGCAGCTTGTCACCCTCCAGTGCAAGCCCGCAACCAGTCTAAAAATAATTCGCGCGAGGCGAACTTTTTAGAAAACTCGACCTAATTAACTTGGCCTTGCTGACGCGACAGAAAGAGTAATTAGGGTCTTACGGAAGTTCTGCCGTTCCACAATATGCGGCGATATTTGTTAACACGAACCAAATAATGAACTGATGATCTTCATTATCGGAAGTATATGCTGCTCCTTAAAAGCACTTCGAGCTTATTATAAACCTACGATTCCTTTGTTATGACACGCTACGTGCACTTATTATATGCTTTTTTATTATTATTATTTTCTTCAATTAAATTATGATAATTAATGCTAGAAACGTGGAAAAATGAATTTATTCAGTGCCTGACCAAAGCTTGAGCTTATCTACTGAAATGAGTGATCCACCTCGTTGAGCTAATATTACCAAATCAATCGAGTTTAAACGTATAAATGACGTATCATAATAAGTACTAAAATTTTATCGAGCCATTACCGTAGTATTGCATAAAAGACATTGGACCAATTAGTGCAAAACTATTCAGATTAATTAATTTCTAACAATATATAGTATAACAAGTCGTATCACGTCAGAAGCAGAAACAATGTTCGATACTCAAAGTTGCGACAGTTACATCTACTGGCTGGTCAGCTGTGCAGGAGGCAAATAGAATATAACTGTGCTAAGCGTAACGATCATTTATGACAAATAAAAACTTGGAAATTTCCAATTACTTCGATAGATTCAAAGGGCTTACCTTTCCTATTGTCCCATTATTTGATATATCAGTTCAGAGTGAATCTACGATACTCGAATGTCCCATGATTGCATTGAAGCAATAGCCGCTGTCTCAAAGCCTATTCGTGATGTAATTTAATTGATTTAATCAATTACGCCTCTTATGCGGCAAAACTAATCAAAACTAATAGATGCTCAAATGCATATTACCTCATTTGTTTTTCGTATTTCCATAAATAACGCCGTTTCCGTTAACGTTCTTACATTTGTTGAGATGGTCATTTATAAAATAATCTTTGCAGCTCCTTGGTTTAAATATATTGAATTTTTAAATTCACTGCATACTTATTTCAAGAACAATTTTTCATGAGTTTAAATTCTTTTGTAGAATTGAAAAAAGAAAACACATCTGTTTACCGTTGATATCTAAAGTTAGTGTAATTTTCATGAATCTCTTGAAACATCAGTGATTAATCAAGTACTAACGGTCTGGCTCCCTCTCGGTTTCAGATTGAATTCACGCTGTGAACACTGATTTGGACGGGCGTAAATTTAGGGCAGTGTAGACGCTGCTTTGTCATATTTACTGACTAATAATAATAGCCTGAGACCTATAGCCCGGAGCATCTGCAAGCTTGCCTAAACTATTCGTACTGTATAACTGCAAAGGCGACAAGCAGTGTATTAGCTGCTGAGAAAACGCTCGAGAAAAGCTCTTTGCTTGCAAAAGAGGCGAGGAATGCGACAAGAAAGATTGGTATTCGCAATGGGTTTTTCGCGAGCGATAACGCGGTGCTCTGGCGCGGGTAGCGCGGCGGCGAAAAATGTCGGAGTTTGACAACAAAAGGCGCCAGACAGCTCTATGCGCATACGAAATGAGGCCAATCACTCGAGCTAGAACCTTCTGGAGAGAGAGAGAGAGAGAGAGAGAGAGAGAGAGAGAGAGTTCTGACGAGGCCAAATAGGAGACGAGTGGAGAGTGCATGCGTACAATCAATCCAAGCATTGATTTGCGCGCCAAATGACATGTCTCCCCGATGGCAAACGGAAGCCACCGACTGCACGTACGATTCGCCGCATACGCTACTGCACTCGCGCACAATCTCACGGAAACGTCTTCCTGCCGGCGAAGATGTGGTTTCGCCAATTTGTGGCACCGCCGTTGACAAAAGCTCCGCGCGCGCCTCTAGCTACCGAAAGTTGCAAATTGGCGAGCGAGCGCTTTGCTGCCAGGTGCGGAAGAAACGCCCACTCGGTTCTGCGATTGTCAACCAACTTGCATACCAATCCGAACGCCGCCGTCTCAATACAAACATACCTCTTCACCGTCCGATTAGTTAAACCACATGCGTCTCGACGCTTTCGGGTGGACGTGATCGATTGCTCTTCCAGGATGTGCGATTAATCTTACCCTACTTATTGCCGAAAGCTAGTCGTGCGAATTCCATATTCTGCAGTTTTTCAGTGTTCATGCTTACTACACTCTGTGTAACTTGTTCATTTATCCGAATTAAAAAAGAACTGATTTCTTATACGTTGACATAAGCAGCACTGATTGAAATAGTTTCACCGTCAGTCATGAAATCCTGCCTTTCTAATTAAAGGATTACCGTGTTTACACAGCTGACTGGTAAAGAAACTTCAGAACTCACAAGTAACACAGTTACGCAACTGTAACTTCAACTTTTCCCTGAGGATTGAGATTAATTGCAAACAAATTTTTACTTATCTGATTGGATTATTAACCTTGTCGCACGCTCTTGTTAATTTTATTAAAAAATTTTCGTTCGAATGATCGTAACATATCAAAGAAGCTGTAAATTATCGCGGCACTCTGAAGTAAAACCAAATAAGTCGATGGTAATTTTGATGAAAGTTTTACTCTCATACATATCTGAGGTTGAATCGACACGAGTGAGTAATAAAAGACTTTTTTGTTTTATAGCCACGAGAAGAAGGGAAAAAAAAATTTGAAGCTGTTTTACGGTAAAAGTTCTAAATTAGAAAAGAAAGGTAATGTGTTGTTAATAGAAGTGTCGTTTTTATCGTTTTCAATGGATGAACTGTTAGTATTAGTCGATACAAGTCCTAGTGGAAAGTTCAGACACAAGAAGGTGTGAAAATATGTGAGATAATCTTTGAGCACTGAAAGGATGTAGATAGGAGCGAGCGAGCGAAATGAAAGCGTGGCTGGCAAAAGAAAATCAAATGAAATAAAAGCCGTAAAAGAAGAGCAGTGAAAAGAGAGACCAGAAAAGAGAGCTTGCATTGAGTCAATCTCTTGAAATCGGGTTTGTCAAGTGGTGCACAGATGCGCACTCGCAATATATATATATCCGAGCGCTCGCGCTGATCGCTTTTGTAGGTCGATGAATCCTACGTAACAACACGTCAGATTGAGTGTGAATCTGGCGCCAAGCAAAAAAGAGAAAAGAGCGAGGAGAACATGAGGGGGCCGACGGTTAGAGTGGCGCTACTCGAGTTTTCGCCACTTGGTCCTAGGCCGAAGCAGTTGTGGCGCGCAACGCGAGTATCGGCAAAAACTATAGATGCAGCTGCAGTTGCACTTTGACACATGCACGCGCACAGCCAGTCGAACTTTTTCAGCCAAAAAATTCTATACACGCACAGCAATTTTCAGAGAAGAAAATGAAAAACTGTCAAAATTTAAGACGAGTAAAAGACGATTACATTGGAAGATGTAGGTGCGTCGGCAAGTTGGGCTAGGCTGGTCCTCGACAGCGTCAAGTTGGAACTTCACGCCGAGGCAACATCGGTGAGCGATCGGCGTGGAAAGTCTCGCGAACGCGCACATACACACGTGACCGAGAGGCCAACGGGGTAACGGGCAGCAGGCAGCACAGCCAGCAGCAGGAGCGCGGAAGCGCGCGCGCGACAAAAAAAACAACACAACTGACTCACTGACTGACTGCCGAGGAGCGCGCGACTCCGACTCCGACTCGACGGCATACGGCCGCCGCCGCTGGCTACTTGCGCGCGCATCTCGACTGCTGTCATCCACCACCACCACACCCACGGATTGAAATCGAAATCCCCGCTTTGGCGGCGCGCGCAGGCGGCACCGCGCCGAGGCCTCCTCCTGGACCACGTCGCCGCCGCCGTTGCCACCGCGTGAGGAGTTCTGGCTCTGCCTCTTCGGCCGACCCCCGCGCCGCTTGCGATGTTAGTTTACGAACCGGGGGGGGGGGGGGGTGTCGTCACTGATAGGGGTAAAATGTTCCACCCAAGTGGCTCTTATGTATTTTCATCCGCTGAACATAAATTTTAAGAGTGGCTCGTCGTAAAGTATACCATTAATTAGATATTAACAAATTAATTGTTTAAACGGCAATAAAAAATGTATTTGTGGACTTAGCATTATTTTGAAATTTACCATGAATTTCTAAATTTACAATGAAGAGGTAGCATTTCTCAAATTAAAAAATTTTTGCGCAGAACCCGAAATATTGCAATTTATGTTACACAACTTAAACATATAAATAGTTAATGAGAAATTAGCCACTCTCGAAATTCGTGTTCAGCGAGTCAAAATACATAAAAGCCACTTGGATGGGATATTTTACCCCTATCGGCCACGACAACCTCCCTTCCGTCCAGGCTCCTAGACTAATGTGTATCTGTACGAACCACAATTTTTACTCTCCTCGGCAAAACTTCTTGTACTATCTCGCGCGACTTTTGCAATTTCCGATTTCTTTGCTTTTTCCCTTTTCCCTATCTTGCAGCCTATCCTTTTCGATCTTCTCATGTCAGCTCTTCTATTGCTGATCACGACTTACTGCTCCTAATGACGCTCTAACTCTTAATAATTGTTATTTTGCTGTTAGTTATCAGTTTACTCGTTTCAGTTGTATTGGGCATAGCCGTAACCGATTAATTCTAGCAATTTCCCGAAGAAGCTCTCAGCAACTGAAGATCAAATGATCAAGTATATACTATCTGTGCTCGATTCATTGACAATTGCATCAACTAAAGGATAAGTGGTTATCTTTTCAATTACAAACTGAATTCAGTTTGGGTTTAGGCTAATTTCGAATTGCATGAGTCGCGACGCGAGGATATGTATTCTAATTGAAACGGATTTGGACGCAGAACTTCCGACCCTTTGATTTACCAATAAAAATTTATACAACTGCACTGTAGACTGCGCCAATTGGAATAAAAAAGTGTACAGCTTACACTGAAATTTGTCGGCTCGTGTCGCGATTTAAATTAGTTGTCATTGAAACTGAAGCGATATTAGTTGAGATAGTTTATAGTAGAGAGTAAATGGTAATTGAATACACAGAAAAAGTGTGGCGTAAACAACAAATCAATGAATAACCACTATTGGATTTTGTGCAAACGAGTGTGGGCGAGGAATAAAGGAGATTGAAAACTGATGGCAATTAGGAAAGTCAAATACAGCAAGCGACGTGGCGTCGCGTTTGGGGCCAACATTAACGTTATAGCTTTAATATAATCGCGTGCGTTCGGCGAGTAGGTCGCGCGGTCGGATACACGCGCAATAGGTGTATAGCACGTCCAGCGGACATTAACAGTCGAAGGCAATTTCAAAGTAAAATTCAGATCAAACGTACGCGCGAGAGCTGGCATATAACGATATTAGATATATGCTTAACGGGCCGCATGTGAGCTTTCGTGCGGGGCGTTACCCGTTTCAGCTGATGCTGCCGCCGTCGCTGCTGCTCCGCTGCTGCTCGGCTGCTCGCAAAGCACATGCGCACCATCCCTTTTGCTTTTGTCCTCTTGCTCAGGCTCTCGCCTTCCTCTCTCTCTCTCTCTCTCCCTCTCTCCCGACTTTCAAAGTGCTGTCCGCTCTTTCTTTGCATCCTCCAGCCTCCCTCGTGCTCTCGACCACATTATAAGCCGGCCTTCTGCTCGTGTAATCTCACCCTTCGCGCTTTACTTGTGCCATGTTTAGCCGACACCGGCAGAACGTGATTAGCGGGACACGCAAAACACCAAATTGCCGGACTTGAATCGAGGACGTGTATACGCTGCACGAACGAGAGTGCTATCCCGAAATACTGCAGATGAAACGCTTAGTGAAAGCATTCGAAACGTGGATGCGCGTATTTGTAGACCAGAAATAAACAGAAACAGAAGAGAGAAATATTCAAAATAAATAAGAGTGGCGCGACTGGTCGATTGTGCGTGCGTGCGTGCGTTTATTTTGTAAACGACGAAACTTGGAGAGTGAAGTTTGGTAAGCGAGGATATCGCTCTGTGTTTCGCTTGGGTTCGTAATGCAGCTGGTCTCGCGCGCGCCGCATGCCTTGAAATATATAGATCTCGATTTGGGCGCCCATATACCTAATTATCCGCGGCGAGTGTGCTTTTTGCATGCGATAAATCGCGATGGAGATGTCAACTTAGATTGCGAGTTATGCTAGAATTATGTTGGTTGCATGTACGTATGTATCAAGTTGCGTTACTTATATCCAACGTGGCCACGCCGCGGTACAGGTAATTCGACGCATACAATGCCGTACGAAGGTGTTGATGTCGCGACAGACAGAGAGAGAGAGAGAGAGAGAGCTCTGATGGCAAGTATATTGTTGTGCAAAGCGACGTACACGTGCATGTAGCGCGCGAGCGAAATCTGCATTGGGGAGCTGCGCGCGAGTGGCGAGCGGGGAGCGGGGGCAATGTTATTCTGTCGGGACGCTCATCGAACAATGGAATAGAAACTTAGGGCTGATTTGACTTTGTATTGACATTCTTGCCGGCGAGCTCTGCCATCTGCAAGTAAAACAGCTTACGCGACAGATTTGCCAAGGGACTCTCCAGAGTTTCCAGCTCGACGGATCATTGCGCGCTTTGCTTGCAAACTTAACACCTGTTTACTTCTTGTCTGTCAACACGTATTTGTATTAGAGCAGCTTCTCAATCAATTCGCATTACCTAAAGTATTAACATCTTCAGTAAATTTTCTGCTCTGTCGATTCTGTTAGAATCAAGTGCAATACAATTAAGCGGTAAACAATTTTCAGGCGACTTAAAATAATGCTGCAGCGCTGCTGCGAATCCTATAAAATATTAACAAGCTTACCTTTCGCGAATACTTTACAACTTGCAAGCATAGTTGTGGGGCTTAATGGAACACATTCTACCTTCTACGACGATAAGGATGCTATAAATTACAATGAAGTACGTTTCATTTCCAATTTTTTCGACAATCTAATGTAAACGCTGTCGGTGAACCAGGAAGCAAGTGATTTATTATTGTAGAAGAGGAAATTTGGGCGGAATAGAAGGATTGAAATGAAACCGTCGTTCTGTTTTAAGCAAACAAATTTAATCGTTTAATACTTTTAATTGACGATATCCTCAAATGAATACAAACGACTGTTCATTACAGTTTCCGATTTAACTCTTCAAGAAATAATTCGGAATTTACCACCATGACATTTAGACGTACGTCTATTTATCGAAAGGTCATGAGAACTCAACAGTACGTATCGAGATCAACGGTTCAATTGATCGCTGTATCAAATACCTGAAGTTGCTTTCGAGAATAAAATTGAAACACCTGGAATGTCTATCGCTGAGCTGTTTATTTAGAAAAAAGAAAGCGACATCCGCGCGAAAATAAAAATTGATAAAATATGGGCCACAACATGAAGTTTGCGTGCTAGCGAAGGCTTAGCTATTTGTTTGTAATAAAAATTGATGTCCCAGTAGCTTTATCAATAATACGACAGCTCGAATAAGAGTGAAATCGAAGAAGCAGCGGCAGCAGCGAGCAGTGTGCGATCAATTTGAAATGAGACGAGGAGAAGCGCGAGCACAAGATCCTTGACCGCTTTTGCATTGGCCGCGAGTGAGACCGAGGATCGTCGATGCGTAAATAAGTGAAGCCGCATCGACAAATCAGTGGTAAGCAGCGAATAGTTAAGAGCGACGAAGAGTCGAGAACAGGCTGTGCTCGCGCGAGCTTATCGCATCGTGAACATTAACAGCGGCAGTTAAAGTCCGTAACGGGGTGTGTGCACGCGCGCGCTTTCAGCGAAAAATTGTACAGTCGCGCTGTCTGCTGCTGCACATGCAAGGGACTTTATTGATGCTTCGAGCAGGCAGTTGATCGTAAATCCTTGTGTCGCGAGCGAAGCGGAGCCTCCCACGAGCCGCACGAGCGACGCCGGCAGCAGCATCTCGCTATTCCCGCTCTACTCGCTCGCCCACCCCGACAGCTCCGATCGATTCGAGACAGAGACGCCGACAGTGAGTTGGCTGAATCGTCGTCGACGACTTTCGCGGTCACAGCGAACCTTTCAACTTTCAGCCTACACCCGCGTTTCGCATTTCGCGCGCAAACCATTTACTGCCACAATAAACTTTTCCACATAACATTGGAAATTAGAACTGCGCCGCTAGAGCCAATGTCAGAGCTAAATATGTTGTTCTATCTGTTACAACAAGTTTCATTCGCTGTACGTAACGATCGCAAAGCTTTACATATATATAAGAAATTAATGTTTTTTTATATTGAAAAGATGGACGGCAACTAAAAGATCACAACACTTTATTTTAAACGCGGGAACAATTTTTCATCGTCGGCACAACTTTAGCTGGGTAAATAACAATTGGCCTGATGATTTTAGTTGACTAAACACAAATTTTCTTCGCTATTTACAATCTGCAATTAAAAGTGGAAATCGTGATTTCGCATACAATTCATATCTAAAAATTGAGTTTAGAAATCAATTAAAACAAATTACATTGAATAAACATAGTCACTAGAATAATTGCAAATCTTACTGATTGCATTTTCGTCTTAGTCTTTAATAAAAGATTGAAGCATTGACAGCTTACTCCGGATTTCTATATCGCAAGACTTCACCTCACTTTTTGGAATTATCATGCTGTAGCGTTTGTAGCCATTTTTGTAGCATTGAATAGTTGTTATGCCATGCTCCATTTCCACTATATACGGATCCGGCGACATTATTGCTACTTGATTCTTCTTCATTTCTTGTCATTCTTTCACCATTCGAAGTTGAAGCATTGTTGAGCCACCTATCGCTAGAACTTGCCCCGGGTTCAGCATTTTGATTAAATCTGTCTGGAAGGTTGGAGGGTTGAGAAGTTGATTGATGGTTAACAAACGACGTTTCGGTTGAGGATGAAATATTTGAATTTGGCATATTTGCCATCGTATTTTGCCCTTCTTGATACTGTTGCTGATTGAGTTGTTGAAATTGTTCCAACAAATTTGCACCTACTGTTGAATTGTAGTATTGCTGATATAATTGTTGCTGTAACTGCTGTTGCTTCAGCGACTGCAACATAAGCTGCTGCTGCATTGTTGAAATATTGTAATTTAAATTATTATCATTCGATTGGCTAACTTGCTGCATTTGCTGAGCAATTGCTGATTGCATATAGGGGAGCAGTTGCTGTGTGATCGGGAATTGAAATGGCGAACCATTTGGTGAACTTGAATACTGCTGAGGTGTAATCTGTGGCGACTTACGGCGGTGATTGCGTCTTGGCGATTGCGAAGCATTTTGTTGTTGCATTTGATATTGGGGATATTGGGACTGCAGTTGGGGCTGCAGTTGGGGCTGCAGTTGGGGCTGCAGTTGGGGCTGTAGTTGGGGCTGCAGTGGGGGCTGCAGTGGGGGCTGCAGTTGCGGCTGCTCTTGGGACTCACATGACTGAGGTTGTAATTTCTTTTTCTGCTTTCTCATTTGGTCCGGGGACGAGCTTCTACTATTTTCGCTGTCTGCATGAGTTTGTTCTTTTCTCATTCTCACGAAAGATTCTAATTTCCGCTTCTGAATGTCAGCGACGTTAACAGCCTCGGGTGGATTTAGTTGCCACTGGCAATAAAAAGTTGGATCGTGCGGCATCGTCGGCAGACTTTCACGACGCTCCTGCCATTGGTGTGCCATTACAGAATTAATGCTTTCGGTTGGCTCACTGTCGGCTTGCTGCTTCACATCTGGATTGGAGGCGGTCTGTGATAATCGATTATTTGATGTGAAACTTGTTTGTTCAGCTTGCGAATCATCGAGAGCTGTGGCGCTTGTACCGTTCAAATTCGAATTTTGAGATTCCGAGTATGATGGATTATTGATATACGTTGACGTCGGATTAGAGTAACCGGCAGGCGTCACTGTAAAAGAAGACTCGCTAAGTTGTGCCAACTGCTGTTCTGTCGACCTAGCATTTTGTTGTGATCGTCGGCGACGTATGCGAGTGTCCCTTAAAGCCATAGGTACTTTTGGCAGCTCTGCTATCACTGATCTATTCTCGCTTAAGGATGTATTTTGCTGCTCACTTTGTTCAAATGTTACATCTGATTCGAGACTATACGCAGTAGCTGGGTTACTTTGACTTTGCTGAGGCTGCGGATCAGTGTTTGTCGCGTAATAGTCATCGTGGATTAATGATTGAAATCTGTTGTCATTAGAAGAAAACGCATCTGTATACAGTTGGTCGGACTGAGTATTGCCATAATCGTACGTGTCCATTGCGCTTGTTGGTTCTTTTCTCGTCGACATCTTTCCTTCGGCATTTTGAGATTCAACATTTTGGTTATTCATTTTTCACTTAGTGCGAATCAAGTCGACTTTAACTCAATTTTACTCTAATTTTAAACAATCGAAACGCTAGTTATCCTTATAATTCGATTGATTATCACTCTATTATTTGTTCACTTCAGAAAAAAACCGCTCCATAAAAGTAGCCTGCTAGCTTCTGAAAAATATTAGAGAATAATGATGTATTTGCTTAGCATATACTTTTCACAATGTTTATTAGGAACGACTCTTTAGTTTTCAAATGTTTCGTTACAAATGTTCAAAATTACCTGGCCATTTTTACATACAACGATACATCAAATTATAATCCTTACCACGCTAACGAATATCAAGTGAGATGGTAACTGATGCAGATCGAAACTAGCTTTGAAAAGAGAATTCATTTGCACGTGTCCCCTCTACAATTTCGAGTACAGAATATCGCTTCCGTATATAAATCACATTCAGCCCTTTTTCACAATTTATAATTTTAGTTCAGTTCCGTCATCGACTACCTTCTTTCACAGAGCATAAAAATTACTAATTAAATTTGTGTAATTCTAATTATGCTTGCGATTATATGGCATTATGCATTAATATTCAATATTTAAATATCTAAATAATGAATATTCGATATTTCAATGAATCTCAGCGTTAATTTCATTGTAAAATTAAAGTAGATACGGTAACTCCTATCTTCTCAAGAAACATTCATAATTCTTAGTCTTAGTATTGCTATTGTTATTCTCAGCTTTACTTTAACAAAATTAATTTTTACAATACGTACAAATCAATATGCTGGAAATTTGAAATATAGACAAACTTCAAGTTTCGAAAACATTCCGCAAGAGGGTGGTAGTAAGCTAGTGAGAAAAATATGTGTGCCTGTCCTGTCCTCTCATCTTCTCGACTCCTGGCCTCGCGCGAAAAAAATAAAAACTTTGATACCTAACCTATTCAATTTATTCATGAGCGTATAACCTCAAAATTAGCATATATAGCTAAACACAACTCGTTCGGAATAACAAAGTGACCATTGACCGCACTAGCGCGGGAGTTACCATACACCTTATTGCAAATGTATATTTCATAAAAATTTTAAACGTCATTTGAACATTTATTTTACATGGACAAGCGTTAAACGTAGCTTATACCGTACGTAATGGGTGATATTCGAGCCGGCATTGAAGATCTTAAACTAGACGGCACACTTTTTGCAAAAGTCAAATACTATGTCAGCGGGGAAGGCGATCCAAAGGTTTAATAAAATATATTACGCTATAATATCTTCATTGCTCTCTTTTGTTTCCCGCTCATTTTCATTTGTTTCATATCTATAGTTCATAAATTAAAGTGTTCTTGAAAGAAAAGTTAGTAATGTTTTCAGTATGAGGTGTATTGAGCAACTTTATGAAAAATACATATACACAAATTTGAATATATTTTAACAAGCTCTTTTATTTTAGATCCTCAATTTCCTACAAGATGGAGGAGCAGAACGGTCAAATTATTTCAGTGATTATGTTACTCACCTTATTGCTGGAAATGAAGCACTGGAAAATGATATTTCTGTAGCAAAAGATCTTTATGAAGTTCCAGCTGTCACACAAGATTGGATAATATATTCTGTAAAATGCAAGAAACTACTTCCGTATCCTTTTACTCACACATATAAACACAAATGTTACAAATCTAGACTCCTTATATAATTTTGATGTGTATATTTTCTTTGTTAATTTTTAGTTGTACTTTATTCAATGCCAAAAAAAATGTGTGTTTAAAATATTTTTCTTTGACATGATTATTTTCTAGAACACACTATTTTTCTCCAGAAGAAAATCAGTTGTTTTCCAATGTAAAAGTATGTATTTCTCAAGTAAGTCGAGCTGATAGTAAAGCTTTATGGGGCATGATAACTTTACAAGGAGGCAAATGCCAATTACGCTTAGATAGCTCTTGCACTCATCTTATAGTTACTAAAACTAGTGGGACCAAATATGAAACAGCTTCAAGACACCAGATGCGTATTGTAACTCCTGACTGGGTTATAGAATGTATCAAGAAAGGAAATATTGTAGATGAATCAGAATATCATCCTAAATTGTTAGCCTATCCATCACCTAATAGTTCAACAGCTCTGATTACAGGATTTATGGATGAAAATATTGAAAATAGTAATTCTCAAGAAAAACAAGATCGTACAAAAGCTATGCTGGAGCAATTGAAACAAAGAATGCCATGGAACCAATCCAAGCCTCAACCAATAACATCCCAATCTGTTTTGCTAAGTCAAAATATAGTGGCAACTTCATCTGCATTTCTTTCTACAAATACCCAAAGCATGACTCATGTAAATGTTTCAGAACAAAGTGTACAGCAGCAATCACAACAGCAGTCATTAATACAAAATCAAATGCCGCAGCAAGCACAATCACAACAATCACAAAGCCAACAACAGCAGCTTCATTCTCAGCAACAAATACATCAACAGCAGCTTCAAGCACAACAGATTCAACATCAGCAGCTTCAAACACAGCAACAGGTGCAGCAACAACAGCTCCAAACACAGCAACAGCTCCAAACACAGCAACAAGTGCAACGGCAGTTCCAAACACAGCAACAGATGCAGCAACAGCAGCAGCTTCAAACACAACAATTAGTACAACAACAACAACTTCAAACGCAGAAACAGGTACAGCAACAGCAGATCCAAATTCAACAACAGATACAGCAGCAACCCCAGACACAGCAACAACAGCAGCTTCAAACACAGCAGCAACAGCAACAAATACAGCAACTTCAAACGCAGCAACAGCAGCAAATTTCAACACAACAACAATCACTACAAACTATATCACAGCAACAGCCTTTGCAACAACAATCTTTACAACAACAATTACAACAACAGCAAAATCAACAGCAACATTTCCAATGGCCATCTGCTTCAACAAGTGCAGCTGCTTCACCAACTACATCCATTCCTTCTACTCCAAATACCATACAACAAAGTGGGTGGAATTCACCTGGAAATCAAACTCCAAATATGTTAGCTATGAAATCCCCATCACAGCAACAAGAAATTACAACATCACAGTCAATGAATTCCCAAAATTTACATCAATCTCAACAGTTACTAAATCAACAAGAGTTACTTCAAATGTCACAGCAATCACAATTGAATCAACAAGCCATTGGTCCGCAAGGAATAGTTCCTCAACAACAGCAACAGATGAATACCCAATTGTTGCAGCATCAAATATCCTCACAGCAACAACTTAATACTCCACAACAAATTAATAATCAACAGCAATTGACCACACAAGCTCAATTGAACACACAACCACAACTGTCATCCCCACAATTAGTGTCTCAACAGCCAATTGTTCAGCAACAGCAACAACAGCAGCAGCTGATAGCGCAACAACAGATGATTTCCCAACCGCAAATGATATCTCAACAACAAATGCAGCCTCAACAAATTTTGTCTCAACAACCAATGATATCACAGCAACAAATGATTCCGCAACAGCAAATCGCTCCACAACAGCAGATGACTCCACAACAGCAAATAGTTCCGCAACAGCAAATGACTGCTCAACAACAAATATTACAGCAACACATTGGACAACAGCAACAAATTGTCCAACAGCAAATATTACCTCAACAACAAATGGCATCACAACAACAATTAGGGACACAGCAACAAATGATACCTCAACAATTGCCCTCACAGCAACTTGTGCTTCAGCAGAAACAGCAATTATTATCGCAGCAAGTAAATCTAAATCAGCAATCACAACAATTAGGTATGCAACAGCAACAGTCTCCAGTTCAAAAACAACCACAGTTGACGCCAGAGCAAATGCTTTTGATACAAAAACAACAACAAATTCAGCAAATTTCACAGCAGTTACAGCAGTCAGCACCTCAAAGTTCTCAACAGTTTGTTATTCGTGAAGGTCAGCTACAACAGTCACCTACGCAAATCATAAATCCAAATCAGCAAAGTTTTATGGTTCAAAGAGGACCACAATGGCAACAACAACAATATCAAATGCAGCTGAGACAGCAGCAACAGCAACAGCAGCAGCAACAATTAGTTGGACAACCAAGGCCAGGCGTCCAGTGGGCACAGCAACCTCCTCAAGCTCCGAGACATTTAATTCAATTAGATGAACAGACTCACCAACAGTTACAACAATTAGATCCCCAGCAACGAGCACAGTTTATACAGAAAATACAAAAACAAAAAATTCTATTCCAGCGTCATATTCAACGTCAAACACAACAGCCAGGAGTTCCAGGACCACAGATTCTCATACGAAATCCTGGAAAACCTGGTCAACCTGGAGGTATTCAATGGGTTTCGCAGCCTAGACCTCAGTTAATAAATCCTCAGGTAATTTTAATATGTTAAGGCATAAAAATAATTTTTTTTCGTCATATTACTTACAATTTACTTACAATACTTACAATACATCATATTACTAAAGGTCGCAAAACTTTATCTTTTATCAATATCAAACATAAATTTTATAAATTTTATATTCTAAGCAATTAATTAATCAATCATTGAATAATTAATACTTTTAAAATGTTGAATGTTTTATATTACACTAATTTTATATTAGTAACGTTCATCGTACAATGTAAAAAAATGTTTATGAATACATGGATTGTTCAGGTCGCCGGTGCAGTAGCTCAAAAACCTGCTCAGATACACCAAATTGTTCAACCTCCTGCTTTAGCACCTATAAACTCGGGCAACCAAGTAGTTGTTCAAGCTGGACAAGCGGTACAAAGTTCAACAGTAGTTCAAGCCCAACAGTTCCAGCAAGGACAACCATTGACTCAACAACAACTTGCGCAACTACAGCTACAAAAGCAACAAATGGCACGCATGCAGTTGCAGCAAATGCAACAACAGCAACAGCAGCAACAACAGCAGCAACAGCAACAACTTATCCAGCAAGATCCATCACTCACAGCTATACCTAGTAACCCTCAAATACCAGCAGATCAGCAATTAGTCGTAAACGCCAAAACGAAAACAGCGTTGGCGAATATGTTAACGAATAGATTACAAAGTGGAACTGCAGAAGGAAGTGCAGCCAGTCAATTACGACTGATGACTGCTCAACATAGGCCACCTCCGCCACCTTCGCAAGATCCTCAACTTTTAGCTGCATATCAAAGAAGAACGCTGGGAAACATCACGAATGGGGCACCTCCAGGAGGACCGGTTAAGTTACAAGGTCCACCAAATGCCGTACCACAACCAAAAGCTCAATTTTATGGTCACAATCCTAACTTGAAACGTTAGTACAGTATTAATTAAATAATTTCTATGTTATTTAAACAATATTTAACTAATCGAATTTTTAACAGTTCCGCCCGACTTATTCTTACTTGGTTGTATTTTCGTAATCGTCGAATACGACGAGCGCAGCCCCGAAGAAGTAGCTATATGGAAGCAAGTGGTTGAGAAACACGGAGGTGAGATAGAACCTCAGTATTGCCCAAGAGCGACACATGTCCTGGCAATCACGCAAAAGCATCCGATTGTCGTCCAGGCACTGCGAGAAAACAAACGTTGCGTGAGTGCCCACTGGCTATCTGATGTAGTTAACAAGCAACAAGTACTTCCGCCATGGCACGCTCTCCATTTTCCTACGCCTTTTAGTTTGACTGATCAACCCTGTGGCAAGCATATCATATCAATATCAGGATTCGAAGGGGAAGAGCGTGCAAAAGTAAAGTTTATGTTGGAAGCTATTGGCGCCAAATTTACAAAATACTTTTCTCGACATAATACGGTACTGGTTTGTAGGAGGTAAATCGATCTTATTTCTATTTGAAATTCAACTAATAATTTTAACACGTTAGATAATTAATACCACTTACAATTTTCTCACCTATTTCAGACCTGATGGTCCAAAATATAAAAGAGCGCGAGAATGGTTAATAAGCGTGGTTAATGCCCAATGGCTAACCGATTTACTATGTGGTCAAATGACTGCACTTCATCAAATTGATGCACCAAAGTATCAGCAATTTAGTTTAGGAAATCCATTTAGATTAGATTATTCACTTGTTCCTCATCTAATGGGTTGGTTGAAATGATTTTATCTTATATAGTATGAACTGTTTGAATACATGCACTTATAAGTTTTGTAAATTTTTCCAGCTGCGTGGAAAATGCCCATAAATGTTACGCAAGAATCTTATGATAAAGTAAAACAAGTTAGTCAAGGGCCGAATGCCATAAGAAAGTATAAGAAGCCAAAATTAGATGGACCAACAGTGAATAAAGACCCGCACTTGCTAGGTCTCGATGAACCGATTGTAATAAGTAATCCTAATCCTCCAACTCCTGATAAACAACCGAGAATTTTGTTTTCTGGTATTAATCCTAAAAAACATGCCAAGGTGAACATAAGTTGTAATTCTATTCTTATAATTATTTCCAAATAATTAAAAATTAATTGGGATGACTGTATTTATAGCGTATACGAGAATTAGGAGGTGCACTTGCTGCAAGCTGGAGAGATGCTACGCATTTAATTATGAATTCTCCATTACGAACGGTAAAATTTCTGTGCTGCCTATCTAGATGTAAATATATCGTAAGTCTTCAGTGGCTTCTTGACTGCTCAACAAACAATACATTTGTCGACGAAACTTTATATGTACTAAGTGATCCTGAATTCGAAAAAAATTTCAACTGCAATATTGAAAAAGCATTGGCTTGTCCTAACAGAGACACTTTACTCAAGGTATCTTAGTTTTTAGTTTAAAATGTTATTAATTTCATATGCTTTATTAACAAACTAATTGTGCTTGACAGGGTAAGACGTTTTACGTGACACCTAGTGTAATACCATCTCCGTCGGCTATGGCTGAAATTATAGAAAGTGCTGGTGGTATAACAGAAAAAACGAGACGATCACTTGCACAAATCCAAGAAATGAACAACGGAAAATTAGACTATATCATTATAACGATAGAGAGCGATTTGCATCTCCTTAGCGATATCCTTCGAGCAGAAATTAGTAAGTATTTCTTTTTTTAACAAATGTTATTAAATCCACGCTGCTTTTGTGATGATAAAGAGTAACTTTGAAACGCCTCCATGATTTTTCAAGGCAAGACTCATCAAAGCACTATTTACTCATCTAGTTTAAGTCTGAAACAGTTAGCTCTACATCTTAAAGCTTAGTTAAATACTATAAAATATGACTAATTCAGCTTACCTTTTATTATAGGTGTCTTCAGTGCGGAAATTGTTTTAGGGGCAATTGCAAAACAACGTTTCCAACCCGATACGACTCAAACCTCGTAGGTTGTATGTATTTTTCAAGAGTAAAAGCTTATATATTTTATATTTAGTCGTGATATATAAATTATATGAAAAGATATGGATATAAAGTCAAATTAATTTAGATATGCTGCATTAATGGGACAATAAAATAAATCTAGTTTTAAAATCTTCGTTGTTTTAATTGATTGCATAATATTATTTTTTTAAACGTGTATACTTAATAAAAACTTGATAAAGTAGATATTAATAGTCAATTGTCAGCTATTTCTAAAAGTCGTATAGAAGCCAAGAAAAATTAAAGACTGATTTTTAATAGTTATAGTCTATTAGATTTAGATTATCGAAAATGAATTTTTCGAAAAAATTTATTATGTTTGTTACTATTTCATCGAATTTTTATAAAATCACTTCAAATTCATCTGAAATACATATTGAATTTATCATATGGCAACTTTTCAATCGTGTGATTTCTAAAATAAACATATAGTAAGACGTCGATAATATTGCGTTTTAGAGCTAGCGCAATAAATTCGACTTGTACAGCAACTATAATTTGTGCAAATATACGCAAGTAAATTTCGATAAACGAGAAAGTCGTTTTAAATATAACGTTAAATATAATAATATCTTTAATAAAATTTGACAACATTAAAGTGCAATTTCCCGTCGTATCCACGGCAGATATTTAGCGATATCAACAAACACTACGTAATCTTCAGATTCACAAAAGTATAATTGGAAATCGGCCAATGTCAAAGAAATCATCCCTCTCAGATGATAGCGCTGATAACGAGCATGAAACATGACCAATCCGCTACCATTACTAAGAAGACAAGAGTCAATTCCGTCTCGTTTACCAGCACAGAAAGTTCGACTTGAAATAATTTTTCTAAATCTATCGTTGCTTTGCAGGCATTGTCTCTGAAATGTTTTATAAAAATGTTTAATTAACTTGAGACAGCCTTGTTACAACTAGGATATTATAAATGCTCAATAGTGAAATTTACCTGTGCGACTACGGGCATTTTTACTTTCTTAGGTTCCAATAATTCAAGCTTATTGCTGATACTACTTTCCCATCCAATAGCATAAGCAGGTTTGCCAATTATATTATCCAGATCAGGTATTTCCATCCACAGACATATGGGACGTATGCTTCGGGTAACGTTGATAGGCTTTATTAATTTAACAATGGCTAAGTCATGATCAGAACTTTCAGTATCTTGAAAGTGTGGATGTTTCTTGTACTCCGCTACCCCGACATTGATCGATCCAGGTTCTTTCCAATTCCATAAATTGGTGCGACCTAGCGATACTTGCATCATGTCTGGAGAAACGTCATTCTCACCATCCTTTAGACAGCGTGCGGCTTAAAAAAAAAAAGATGAGTAAACATTGTAAATCCAACAACACAAAGCGCAACCATTGACAGCATAACTTTTGTTAAAATGTAGAATTAGCAAATAAATAACGCTTACTCGTTAAAACATGCTGTCTGGAAATGAGATTACCCGAGCATTGAAAATCTAACTCGTTTCTCAGAACGAAAATTGCCGTGAGCCAGGGCCAAATAATAGGTTCAGTTGACTCAGCACTTGGATTCAACGGATTTGATTCGCTTGTTAAGCCGCACGACAAGTCGGCGGGTTTGTATTTAGCTGGGCGAACTAAAGAGAAATCATTAGGCACTACTATTGTTTGTCTTTCAATTGGATTTGTTGTCGTTGTGTGCTTTTCCGTACTAGTATCGAGACTTGAGGAAGTTGTCAAAGCAAGAGTTGTGTGATTTGAAATGATGTTCAGTAACTGATCGGTAAGAGGTATAACTACTCTGGCTGGGTAAAGCACATGCTCCAACATGATATTTGTAACGATAGCTCCCATTGCTGTGAACCGGAAACAACAGTTAATCCAGAATTACGCACGCAACAACGAAATCAAATTCAAAGCACGTCTTAAAACATGTTTCAATTATTTTCGCTCGAATGCTTTAATTTATTATTTAATTCGTAGCGTTTTGATGGCAGCAAGTGAAATTTCGACAGATAGCAATGTTTACCTGGTGGTCCCGTACAGTATTGATAAGAATTGAGAACAATACTCATAACCACTGGAATCGGATGTCGAACAGGGAAATATATACGATAGTATAGAGATGTACCATGCAAAATAGATGTTATTGACTCTTCTTTTGATTTTGCCAATTCTATTCGACCGACGTATTTCTGAAAAAGTGAAATTGCCTCTTTCAGTTTTTTTAATTAGCCATTCTGTTTATTATTTGCATTGTCTTAGAAATAACAAGTTTAAATTATCAACTATAATTTACATTTATTTACTACAGCTTTTATTGTATTTCTATCTCCAAGTCAATATTATCAGTTTTATTTGATCGCAGACGTATTAAAGTGATGAAGGTAATTGTAAATTTAAAGGAAAAATTAAAAGTATATATATATATATCGTACTTACGGTAGGTAATACTGTAGCTACACTTAAAATAACCCGTAGATGCAAAGGCACTCCCTGCGGAGGATAAGGTATTTCTACGATGCCCATAATTTCGAAATTTGATTCATTACGAAAGTATCGAAAATATTCTGGACATTGGCATTCGACAATAGAAATAAGTTGATATGTCGTTAAAAATATTCCAATTCCGTAAAATACATAATACATTTTCCCCTCACAATAGCTGAAATCAAACATTGTTTCGTATGCAATGAAATAAAAAAAGTATGTCGTAATTTATAATAATATTTAATACCAGCTTTGCAACCCTTAAAAATAAAATAGCTTCTTGGTACGATGAACACTTGGTTATTTATTATTTACGTTTGAAAATGAATTCATTTTGAAATTCAGGTCTATTTTCGTACTTGTAATCGTAAAAACAATAATGTGGACATCCTTTACGGCTTAGCTAAAAATAGTAAGATTATTTAGAATACATATATCATAATTACATTCGTATTCATAGAGATTATGATTTTTGTTGAAAAATTAATTAAAAATACTAGAAAAAATTATTGTTCAACTGTTTATTTTGTTAATTATACCAAAACATCGATTGTGCATAGCTAAGCAATTTGCCGTTCATTCATGAATTCAGTTTTTGACTTACCGATGTCAGATGCTTTCTTTTATTCATTCGTTTTAACGATTTTCTTTTATCATAACCTGCTTTGAAGTACGTTTTATATTTAGGGCGTTTTTTCTGTGAATCTGCTGAACGTATAAAATATAAAATATTTATGTTTATTCTTGATAAAGTTCAATAATTATCAAATATATTATGTGGCTTAAACAATTAATTTTACAAAATACACATAATATTAATCTTAAATGACAGTGCGAAGTACAGGAAGGAAAAGTTGCGGTGCCAACTACTTAGTATGCAATGACTTACTGAGAAATATGTTTTATTATTTCTAAAATACGCGACGTCAGTATCATATTTGCATGATCAGCAACTTAAACCATAAAAGCGAACGACCTCGTTCAAAATCGACACAGGCGTAGAACATTTTTTAATAGATTATGTTGTTTTGACTCAATAATTTATAACTAAAATAATATAACATATAAATGTTGAATCGATAAAATCAGGTGAAATCCTGTCTTTTTTTAACCAAGTGGTCTAATTTTGTCATTGTAGGTTTGAATTTTTACTGCATTTGTAAATACGAAGAATCGTTTCTGCCGTCGTAATATATTGATAATTTCATTAAATTCATAAATAACTTGTGCAAAATTTGTAATTGAAAACAAATTCTAATATTGTTTTTTGTAAGATAATGAATTATTATCCATAAAATTGCTAATAAAAATAATTATACATATAATTATATTGTATAATTATTTTTATGAACAAATTTGTGGATAATAATTTAAGTTGGAAAATATATTACAATGACAATTTTAGTGTGACTAAAAATATTTAAATTTTTCTTTAAAATTTTTAAAAATATGATTTTTGGTATTTATTAGAAAAAGTACTGAAAGTATACGAAACTATAAAATGATAAGTAGATCAGTAAATTTTAATTTATAATATTTAAACAAAATAATTTTTGAACCACTAATATACTACCTTATCATACAAAACTATCTAACTATCACAAAATAATTTAGATAGCAAGAAAAATATCTGTTAACTTTGTTGTCTAGTACTCGCACTAGTGCTCAAAAACAACGAGATTTTTAATTTAAGTAGCGCGCTCTGTATATTGCACATGCGCAATCCGAAAGCGCCAGAAAAGTTGAGAAAGTGGTTTTCTCTCACAACAAACGGCCATAACCTGATCATTTGTACATCCGGTAAGTTTCATACTCCCATCCAAAAAATTAAGCCAATGGAAATATAATGATGAAAATTAACTATTACTATTCTTTCCACCTATAGATTCTTCGTATTCATAAATGTTGTAAAAATCAAATTGGTTGCACGAAAATGGCAGAAGAAATGGATATGAGTAATCCAAACGACGAGGAAGAACAAGAAAGAAAGTTACTCGAAGAGTCGTCTAACGATGAGGATATGGGATGTGGTGAAAAAATTGATGATGAGGTAAATTTTGAAAGCGAATCTGGAGATGAATTTGAAAAGTCGAAGGATGCTATAGGTAACGACAATGAAGGTGACAGTGATGATAATGATGACGAGGATGCCCAAGATCAAGCCGCAGAAGCCGAAATAAAACGTCTCGAATCTGTTCTTGCTCAAAATCCTTATGATTATGAAACTCACGTCCAACTTATTGGCACACTTCATAAAATGGGAGAATTGGATCGACTAAGAATCGCCCGAGAAAATATGAGCGCTAAATATCCTCTTTCACCCGAAATCTGGCTTTCATGGCTAAGAGATGAAATGAAAGTCGCTGTAACACTAGAACAGAAAATATCTATTACAGAGCTTTGTGAAAGGGCTACTCATGACTACTTGTGTGAGTATCTTGTATAAGGCAGTAGTAAAGACTGATTATAAGTTGTAAAATGTACACAATGATATTTATATTTTTTATGAATACATATGTAACAGTAATGAACATTATCCAAACTTTTGATTACAGCTGTTGAAATATGGTTAGAATACTTACAATTTAGCATGGGATTAGGTACTGAAAAGGAAATGATTGAAAAAATCAGACATCTTTTTGAACGAGCACTAACTGCAGCTGGACTACATGTTATGAAAGGATCTTTGATTTGGGATGTGTTTAGGGAATTTGAAAATATTAGAATGTTAATGGTAAAGTGCTTTTATATTAACCTTTGTATTTCTACAATGTTTAATACTTTTAACGTTAAATTTTTTATTCATTGAAGATGGAGCCAGATGACTCTGAACAGAAAGATCAAGTAAATCGTATAGGCAAACTATATCGCCGTCAGTTAGCTTGCCCACTTATTGGTATGGAGAAAACTTTTGAAGAGTATGAGATGTGGCGTAGCACAGAAGGCTCTAAATGCACAGAAGATGAAAGTATAATAAAGAATGTGTATAAAAAAGCTCTGGAACAATTAGCTATACGTAAACCTTTTGAAGAAAAGATAGAAATTTCCCAAAATAAAAGTGAACAACTTGATGCTTATAAAGCTTATTTAATTAAAGAGAAGCAAATTGGTGATCCAGGACGTGTCACTATACTTTATGAACGTGCCATAGCAGATATAAGTCTGGAGCCAACTTTGTGGATTGATTATACAAATTATGTTCAAAATAATATAAAAATAGATGAAATTACTGAGAAACTATATAGCAGAGCAGTAAGAAATGTTCCATGGTCTGTTCAGATTTGGCAAAACTGGATGCGTTTCTATGAAAAGAAACAAAAATCATTGTATGAGATGCAAAAGTTAATTGAAAATGCACTTGAAGTTGGTTTTTCAACTGCAGAAGAGTATAAATGTCTTTGGCTTACATATCTTGAGTACTTGCGTCGAAGAATAGATGAAGGTTCAAAGGAAAAAGAAAAACAATTAGAAATTTTAAGAAGTGCATTTAATAGAGCATGTGATCATTTAGCAACTTTTGGTTTTGATGGAGATCGCAATTGCGATATTCTTCAATTTTGGGCCAGAACTGAAGCTATTTATGCAAATAATATGGAAAAGGCGCGATCACTTTGGGCTGATATTATGTCTCAGGGTCTTTCAGATTTCGCAGCTAGTTGGTTGGAATATATCTCATTAGAAAAGTAAATTATCATGATAATTACGAATATCTAATATATAATTTTTTTAGTTATAAATAAATGTATCCTTTTTGAATTTCAGATGCTATGGTGATACAAAGCATTTAAGAAAGCTTTTCCAAAAAGCTTTAACGTCGGTAAAAGATTGGCCAGAGAGTATAACGAATGCTTGGATAAATTTTGAACGTGATGAAGGAACATTGGAGCAAATGGAACAATGTGAGTTAAAAATAAAAGAAAAACTTTGTAAAGTTGCAGAAGAAAGGAATAAGGCACAACAATTTGAAAATGTCAAAGAAAACGTTTCTTTGGGTAAAAAATCAACCAATAAGAGAAAACTTCATGAAGGTAGATGGAAAAATTTAGAAGCTAAAAGCAAAGTCGCAAAAATGGAGTCATCTAAATCAGCACAAAAAATAGATTCCCATGCAAATAAAGCCGAATCATTCCATAAAATTTCCAATAACACAACAAAATCGAAAGTAGCACCTCCTCCAGGTTATGAAGAAGACAATGATGAAAAAATGGAAGAAGAAGCGCATAATTTGCCGGAAGTAGATGACAATATTACAATATTCGTCAGTAATTTAGATTATGATACTACAGAGGAAGAAGTTAAAGAAGCTTTAGAATCAGTTGGTCCTATTACACTGTTTAAAATGATCAAAGATTATAAAGGACGTAACAAAGGATTTTGTTACGTTCAATTAAGTTGTCCAGTAAGCTGATTATTTACGAAAAATTATACAACAATTTCAAAGTTAAATAGTAATTGCTTTATTATTTGTTCACAGGAAGCAGTCGAAAAAGCACTTACCCTGGACAGAACGCGAATAAAAAATAGGCCAATGTTTATTTCACGATGTGATCCAAATAAAACATCGAGAAAGACAATTTTCAAATATAAGACTGAATTAGAAAAAAATAAATTATTTGTCAAAGGTATTGTTGCAAAATTATACATCTGTGAGTACCAATTATGACCTTTAATATTTATAAAATATTTTTCTGTAGGACTTTCTCCAAATACAACAAAGGAAACGTTAGAAGAAGTGTTCAAGGTTTTTGGTAATCTTAAAGATGTAAGAATTGTAACTTACCGCAATGGACATTCCAAAGGCTTGGCTTACATAGAATTTGAAGATGAACAAAGTACAGCAAAGGCTCTGATTGAAACTGATGGAAAAACTATAGATAGCAAAGAAATAAGTGTAGCTATAAGTCAGCCTCCGCGGCGAAACCGAACCTCTAGCGAAGATGAATCGCATTTGACAAAATCTCTTGGTGGTACTATAACCAGTAGATCAACTTTTGGAAATCCTAAAACTGTTTTATCATTAATACCTCGAACGGTTTTGAAAAACACAAAAACTGAGGGTGTATCTGGAAATGGAGTTGCACAACCATTGAGTAATGCCGATTTCCGAAATATGCTTCTTAACAAAAAATAAAAGAGAAATATATTTACAAGTTTTATACAAGTATCAGTATGTTAAGTAAAATAACTTAAAATCTTAAAAAATTACTGAATATTGAGTAAAGGATTCAAATAGAACTTGTAATTATTACTTTTTATAAAACATTTTTAATTTTATTTATTTTGAAATTATAAGTTAATTTTTGTTACAACTAATTTTGATTAAGATACACGATTTATTCTTTTTAAGATTTTAAGATTTAAGATGATCTTAAACGTAAAAATTTTAAATAAGAAATACTATTCTATAATAGAGTTTGTATGTATGTACATATGTAGCGATATTCACTGTAAAAAAAGAATGTAGAGCTACAATCTAATAGCGTGAATAATATACAAGATATGCATGAAATAAAGCAACTTTTTTTCTAAAAAATAAATACGTATTTATATTAACTTCAGTCGTATATATATACACGTACAGAGATGCAGTACGATAATTTGAACGTTGAATAAGTCAATTAAAAAATGCACAAATATTTGTTACAACCAAACTAGCTGAAACTTGATTATCTAAACGACAGGTTCTTTAGTTGAGTGTCAGTTCGTATTTGGACCGTTCGAAGGGCTTTATAGTAAAAAAGTGTAAAATTGAATATAGGAAGATCTAGCCCTTTAGATTTGCATTTGATTAGGCGAGTTGAACTTCTTGAGCCTCGGCGGGGCTACAGGTGGCGGCTGCTCGGAGCTTATAATTCTCCTCGTCATGAGCCACTTCTTGGCTCGGCCGGCGTGATAGTAGTAGGTATAAATCAATGCCATGACAGCGAGTACGACCAACAGGCACGTACCAGCGATGATGAAGTTGAACCACCAAGCAGGTCCAGTGTACTCTGGCAAGTAGTCGCTTGGCTCGGTCGACGACGTCGGCACTGCAGAAGTGGACGGGCTCGTCGGTCGAGGCGGACGCGGTCGAGGCGGTAGTGTTGCCTCTTCGTTGCCTATCGCTATGTCGGCACACGCCCGAAATTCCTCTTGCGGCCCGCAACCTACAGCACCTGTAAATCAATTCGGCAATTGGTAGTCGTATAAAAATAACGCCATTTCGAGCTATCAGTACGAAATTAGGAGACAAAGTAACAAGCAAACTTTATATGGCTATACGTTTGTCCGAGAAAACTTTTCACAAAGTATAATCAAATGTTTTTGTCTTCAAAGAATCACTGCATCCCTGTTCCTCGTAGAATAACTTTTCCGGAGCTTTACGATGATTAGTTAAAAGAAGTTTTCAGCGGTAGAAGGAAGCTCTGTTTGCGTACAGCAGTAAGTAAAAAACGAAAGAGTTCTTAAGCAAAAGACGATGCAGCGTGGCAACCGGAGTCGTAAAACTTTAGGAAGGTGACTTGATCGATTGCACAATGTCGAGCGTGGGTCAACTATGTAGCTCGTCTTGTCGCGTCGTCGTAACTTGCATTGCCTTCTGATGACGCAACGTGGATCGCCGCCGCGGACGCATTTCAAGTATTTAATAATAACACTCTCTCTATCAGTGTGTCGATGTGACCACGCACTCTGTCAGAATTTCAATTCTATGCGTTGCACAAAAGCCATGTCCGCATAGGTCGTTGCCTAACGCGCATGGCTAGCGACTGCTATTATCTTAGGCGTACATTCAAGGAGGATATTTACCGTGTCCATCGCCGCAGTCTCCCCAATTATTACCGGCGATGTATCTCCATTGAAAGACGCACTGCTTGCAGGTGAGAGCATCCGGCAACTTGTAGTAGGCCTCGAACACTCGGTTACCCTCGCCGGGATAATAGCGTACCGTGCCGTTCTCGCCGCTGAGCACGTATCTGTCGAGACAGTCCTGCGTGACCTCTTGGTCCCGGTAGGTCATCGGGCAGGTACGGAACTCAAAGTAGCCGTGATGGTTGGCCGTCAATTCCACGCGCACGGGGATCACCGAACCCGTCCTGTATCGCCGCACGATCACCCCGTTGCCGTATTTACCTCGAGTTTCGTGTGGTCTTGGCTAAAATATATACACGTACTCATTCATTTTTGCAATTAAACATATATATTAAACATATTCACGGCTACACTCACACGAATCATTTTTATAAATGCCAATGGTGATACGCGCTATACATAAAATATAATACCAAATGCACGAAACAAAAAACATGTCTGAATCACGCATGATTTATAGTATACGGAGTAAAGAGTCGTATAATCAGCGGCACTTTGTCGCCCAGAGACCATTGGATGGTTCATGGGATTTCTCACTGTTGGCCATAATTCATAAAAAAAACAAATAAAACCGGCGGAATCAATAACGTATAATTTTCTACAATCAACAGTATACATCAAAATGAATCAAAGCCATTGGTTATAAAAAGGTAATTGTACTGCTTAATTCACAACCGATTCATTTGTTTCTGTGAATTGACTTCATCGATTAATTAAAAACTGTAGTTATTTAAAACGACAAAAATCAATTAGTATCGCAATATACATCTAGTTTCTTTGTACATATGTAATATTAATTGTAAGCTCATTTACCGGCTTCAAATCCCAAGCATCGCCGCAAATTCCGCATTTTCCTTTGTTACTCTGCCACTGTCTGGTGAAGCCACCGCAGTACGACTCATGGTCATTGTAATCGGGTGGCGTATCGAAACCATACCTCCACATCGACGCTCTGGACGGTGGCTCGATCAGTCTTCCGTGTGCTGATACATCTGCGATTAAGAAATTGCCGACTACGCCCAATGCGCAGGCTATGTAAAAACATATTTGTCGCCCGATTATGGCAACGCCCTGTAAAACAAAAATAAATGGTCAAAATTAAATTTATAAAAAGAAAGACGTGACGTGTATCGAAGTTTAGGCGGAGTTTAATTAGTTTCAATTAAATGTTTATCTGTTTAGAATAAATTAGACGCATTCGATGAACGAGCTCTTGATATGGAATAAGTGCGAGACATAATGAAAGTTCGCAATACAATAGAACCAAAAGACGCATCCCTGACCTATTGTAGCTGTGGAATGTAATTTGTGATTGAAATTTCGGTGAACCTTGATGTAAATTCGTGCCAGGAAGCATGAAAAATGGGTCAGAAACGGATGCGCCGTAGTAAAGTTCCGGTGCTCTAAAAAGTCACGTGGCACTTGTAGGTGCTACATATATACACGCATCTATACGGCTTTACTCGCTGAATAATTCATACTGATCATGGTATAAATCAGCCACGAGAAGCTCTTATTTGAATGTGTAAGGAGAAGCATTCGAATGGTAGACAGTGGCAAGGACCTTGCTATTGTTGTAATGACCCAACCAACTACATTGACTTCATGCCACACATCCCGTTTCTTCTTACTTCCTGACCGCGCTAGCCTTTTTCTTTTTTCAGTTTTACGTGGCTTTATTACTCTTTCCACGCAAATTTAAACACTAGTCATTTTAAGTTTCAATTTTTTTCACAATATTTTTTTTCTAATTTCAGAGTTTTTTCTTGGTACTCGCGCGCGATATAAAAAACATAACGTACGTAAAGTTTTATTGACTTTCTAAATGCATTTTTCTTATCGAAAGTATCTAAACTTTTCAGCAAATAAATTGCCAGTTATTTCTTTAAAAATGTTGTTATACTTTTACAGATAGACGATTTGAAGAGAGATCAGCTAATCTACTTTGATGATTTTTATGTTATCTTTAATTGGCATTAGTAAGATTCTTGGAAAATGCAAGTATCGCGGTGTTAAAATAAAAGGACACTTGAAAGTTTCGGCGGAGCGAGAATCAAGAAATCTTAATAAACTGTTAATTATAGTCAATGTATCTAAACTTAGAGGAGCTTCTACAAGAAATATTCCGATTATTCAGTGTTTATTCAGTGTTTCTAAATATTAAATTTTCTATGTGAAAGAATAGGAGAAATTGAAAAAATTCTTTTTAGGTTTCACTCTTTTATCTAACGGAACTTTGTGCGAGTCAAACGTGGAAAATAGATTTACAATTGTATGCTATTAGAGTGACTTCCGTCGTTTACATTATCAGTTCCGTCATTGTTATTATAAATTCATTGCGTAACGCAAATAATGGTAAGTCGCACGGCAAATAATTTCGTTACGAAACTCTCAATGAAAAAGACAACAACAGCAGAATTGCACGGGAAAATGAAGTCACACAGGTAAGGAAAAAAATCTTGTGAAACGAAATCAAGCGATGCATGAAAGTCCAAGTACTACGCCTAGGACAAAACGAAAGGATGAAATTGATAAAAAGGAAAGATGCTCATCGCTCAATTGACAAGCGGAATAACGAGCTTGTTATAGCGAATGACATCGATTAGAAAGTTAATGAAATTGATTGGTCCCAGTCTATTTTACTTCCCAGCCGAATGATTTTATTTTCCCATGTTTAAATGAAAGGCTTGATGCTTCAGTACTCTCGGGAAATAGCGGTACTGTCATGATAACATGACAATGTAGCGTTGTAAATAAAATGAAAGTTGAGAAAGAAAATTCCTTGAGTTGTCTCTAGAATACAAGCCGGTATCAATCAAAAAAAAGTAATGAACACAGATAATCTTATGTTCCATGTGCATTAGTATATACTTGATAAAAAAAACACATTTCGTTTACGATGATTGATAATGTGGTGCTTATACATTTTAAACAAAGTAATAAATTATGTAAAAATTTAAGTGACTTATCTAATAATATGAAAAATATACAAACACTGTTATTTTGAAATAATATAAGGAGTAATAAGTCGAAAATGAAATAGCCAAAGTAACATTATTATCGTCGATTAAAATGAAAATAATTAATTTGATCGAGTCCTTTTTATTAGCAGTATTGATTCAATGTCTAAAATATTATTGATGCAGTGCAAGTTATAATGTTATCACACAATACATATTGAAAAACGACGTTTATAGTGTACTTGTTTTATATAATTTTTTGTCTAACACAATTTGTATTAACCGAATGCCCAATCGCTGCAAGGTATACGAAAATTATAGAAAAGTTCGTTTTTTTCGAAATTAATATAGAGAAGCGTTCAAATAATTAATCAGTGAGTTTTGATATTTCACGTAGGAGAACAAGTGGAGAAGAAACAAAGAAATTGCAATTTGCTGGAGGATCAATGCGGCAACGTCGTACCGCACAAAAAGCATAAATGGCTCTCCCCAAACCTTGATCATGAGTCACGCTCAGCTCGATCTTATCGTGCATTTGCAGGGTGACTTTACTATATATTCTTCATTCGTGAGCTCCCGACGGGAGTGACCTTCATCGAGTGTTCAACGTATACCCACATTTTCAAAGTGTACAGTTTATTAGGTTTGCTCGACACCAATTGTTAACGGTGCACGTTTATAAGAGTATGATATGTGACAATGAGCCCAGCGAACGGAAATGTTAAAGCAAAAAGAGATGCATGGTTGGACCTTGCGATACGGCATTGGAATTAATACAATGATTCTTATTATCAAGCGGGTAAGTCGCTTGAATATAAAAATCTAAAGATAGTGAACGATACGCGTTGACCTCGATTCCGCAGCAACAAAGAAAGGGTCGCGATGCCGCTGCGTCTACAGCTCTCGCACGTATCAAACTGTATCACAGCCGGCGGGTCAACAACCTCGTACGGAGTGCTGAACCACCCTCGCGAATAACGAAGGATCATTGAGCACTGGGGCAAGAGTCGTTCGACGAACGCTCTCGCGAAGACTCGGACAAACAGATCAATGAATAGTCAGAAATAAACTCACCGGCTGGCGGTCAAACGAGCGTTTCATGGCTCACGTTAAAGCGGCGTCGCTGGCATCGGCAGCCAAAGCCGAAAGGACCCGGACCTCGGAACCGGTCGCCGAGGACTGACGAGGCCCCCGTGTGCGCGCAACTGCCTCTCGACGATCTCTCCTGCCGCTCGCTCGCTCGGTCGCTCGCTCCCTCGTTCGCTCCTCGCTGTTGGCTTCGTCGCTGCTGCCTGCCTGCCTGCCTGCCTGCCTGCCTGCCCGCCTGCTTCTGGCTACTATGTGTAGGAGTAGGTCATTAGAGCAGCCAGTTGATACCAGAGCTCTCTGCGCACTCGTCATTCGACCGTCGTACACGCACTCCAGTCCGTTGCTTTTACTCTTTTCGAAAGGACCGCCTGTTGCCGAACAAATCCCTCCTTTTTTCCTCGTCTTTTTCTCTTTCATCGGCAGAAAGAGAGCTCTTTTCACGTTCTCCTCGCTTTGGACTACATCGGCTCATTAAATTTTCATTAGTTTCGCGGCCTTTTGAAATTCGTATATTTCGCTTTGCCTGAAAATATTGACCCGCGAATTTCGCAAACACTTTCGTGAACGCAGCTACGCATGCGCATCGATTTTTATCACATAGTTTAGAACTATCTTTCCGCAGAACTTTTCCGGGAAAGATTTCTTTTGTTTATTCAACGCCACTTTGTGAATGTGGTTCTTCTCTAGATCATGTGATAATCTTACCTGATTTCTTTTTTTTATGTGGAACTTTTCACAAAGCCTCAATTACATAAAACATTTGTGCACAGACTTTTCATGTCTTCCATTTTGTTATCCCATAAAAAACTGTCATATTGTCAAAGAAACGCGCAAGAGTTCACAAGTCATTAGCAGATGCTAAACATTGCATAAGTACACATTTGACTCTATTATCTGTGAAGAAATCGTTTTTATTAGGACTGCCTATATTTTTCAATGTATATCTATAATGATTTTAAAAAATGTATTTTTAAACTCTTTCTTTAACAGAACCTTGAAAGGCATTACGACGATTTTCATATATCCATATGCCTTTAGTTCGCATTTTCTGCTTCTCAATAAAATGTAGAAAACAGTTTTTATAGCTCCCTTACCCCGTGTTCTTAGACGACAATCCAGCCAGCAACTTCACAATTTGTTTGAATTCTAAATAAAATTATTTCTAATCGGAGAAGATTAAGATAAAATTAATCGACTTTCCGCAGAAGTTTATAAATGTATATGAGATCGATATTATATTATTAACTCGATTTATAAATGATTGTACTACAGGTAAATCGTCAACCATATATCGCTATAAGCGACTATATTTTTATGCACACATGGCTGTGAACCTTGGAAACTACCCTTTTGATCTGTAAAATTCAAGCATTCTTCTTCATTTTCCTAATTTGAGTTAACGTCATATGTACGGATATGTCGTTTGATTTTACGGTAATGAAGAAGCACAGTAGAGCCTTCCATTAAAGGTATCCTCTCCTCAGAAAGTTACAATGACATTTTCATATAAAAATTAGTCTACCACAAACTGAATGTAGAACAGTTTTTGAAAAAATCAAAGTGGATTATTTGACGAATACAAATAGAATAATGAAATTATTAGCGGATGCTAGTAGCATAATAAAATCTATTTTCTCGGTTTACTACAATGTAGAACTAAAAATATGAATATCGGAAAATGAGTCCAAAAAGATTTCCCGGAATTCGAAAGCACTTTTATTGCGTTGGTTTACAAAATTTCGAATCAGTACAATGGTTAATTTACCTCGGAGCAAAGGTTAATGTGATAGATAAGAATGGATCTTTACTATTACGTTTAGACCATACTTACAAATTTGAAGCAGTAGATAACGGATTTAAAGTTTGTTAAGATATAAAAAAATTGAAAGAATCGTATTTGCAGGAAAAATGAAAGCACCTACAGGGAACTTTTGTACCGCCAAACAAATGCTCATCAGATTCTGGTGAACATATAGAGATAAGATGTGCAATTATAAGAATGTGAGTTTGCTTATAACAGCAGTACAATACTGCTGAATATAAATAAGTGAGATAAAACCTGATTAGTAAACAAGAATTTATTATAAAAATGTTAGAAATTTTAATATATGTAATTATATATATATATATATATATATATATATATATATATATATATATATATATATATATATATATATATATTCTAATATAGTTTGATATCCGTAGTCTGTAAGTTTTGTTTATGTATCCAGCCTTTATGTACAGGTAACTTGTTTACCTCTTTAGGCAATCACAAATGTAGATGGAACAATCCATGAACTTTGTATTTTTTAAATCAATAAATTCAAATACACATATATACGAATGTAAATAAAATGTTTGTTCTTCTTCGGGAAGAAGAAAACTGTATAAACAATATTGCTAACCGACGTTGATTTTAATAACTTTAGGATGAAAATATCAATATCAGTGGCATAATTGATGTTGGAATCACAATCAACGGGAATGCATGCCCTTCAAATAATCGTCCGGTATTTCATACAGGTGGAATCACTAGTAAAGTGGATTTGTTATCGATACACGGGGCTGATGTATATTGTCGTGGGATTTTAGCTTTTCCTGCGCTATACTATTTCGCTGCGAGATTCTATGGGAACGGGCCTCCAGCAAAAAGCACGGTCGCTCATTATGCTATGCTCGAAACAATTGATAAATCGATTGCAAGTGTCCACTCAAAAAGTACTATTAACGCTTGTTTAAAATTCGCAAACTAGTTCAATTTTTGTCGACGACAAGTTGAAAAATCAAAACGGGAACGATCTCCAAACTATAAACACCAAACGAAATAAAAAGAAATCGCGTGACATACGCGCGCATCCAAAAACTGATTGGCGCTGTAGAAGTGCAAATGGAGCTCGTGCACGCGAAGAGAAAAGCGACTCCTATTGTCGAGGCATTCAATGGGCTTGACGCTGATACGTGCCGCATCATCGTGTGTGAATTACAGGTATCTTGGATTTTTCAGAATTGGAATACTGGAAAGGCATTCTACGTAAGGTCACAGCAAAAAATAATTCTCCAATTAAGAATTCTTATTAAGTTAAGGACATTTCGATTCTGACGATAAGAACTATTGCTCTTTAATTAAAATATTTGCTTAGCTTGATAATAAAATAAAAAGTCCGATGAATTATCATATCGGTTTCCTACTCATCATCTGGTTGTTTTATTCAAGCTTATGAGTAACCAGTAAGAAATGGCAAATATAAAAAAACGGACGTGTTTCGCGAATTCTAAACAAGCGTTATCAAAAAATGTTACTGACCTCATACACAAACTGAGCGGAATCACGTAAGCTCCCAGTCGATCCGACTTTCAAAAAAGCAAAGACATTTCTTTCGAGTGCGAACTAGCGAGTGTGAGGATGCATGAGTACAGCTGTGTATGCAAAAGACATCTTTAGTTGGCTCAACGTGTGTTTGGTAACACGTAGACGAGTGCTGGAAAACAGGAAACCAGGAAGGTTCGAGCGCGATTGCCTTTCACACACATATGGGCGATAAGTCAAGACGTACAGCGCTGTGTGTGTTCTGGCTTACAGGTCGCGCAGAGACAGCAACGATTTTTGGTGTACTCGGAACGCACACAACGCACGCGCATGTATTCGCATATATGTGTCCGCCCGTGTAGCCGGCGCGTACTTTCTCGCGGGACAGCTGCAACGTGAATGGGAACTTGCGAGGCATCGTCACGGGAAATCGCATCGACCGCCAAGCCAGCAGCCACGAAAACAAGGAAGTCGATCCGGAGAGAAACAAAGAGAATCCCTCCTGTTTTCTGCCTTCTAAATTCTCACTGCATCTTCGGGCCACAAATTTTGCGATAATGTGCCACACGCGTTATTTATTCTATCTCTCGGAAGCTTTGCAAAGTTCAGTCGCACGTACATTTTAGCGCTATTTTCCAATTCATTGTACTATATGTCTCAAGTTATTTCTCTGCTACAGAGGTGGCTGTTTATTTTGCCTGGCAATGTTTACTGAGGCGATCAGCAGTGAGAAAGCATATCTAAAAGTCTGCAAATCATTAATGTGCTCTCTGTCAATCGCCTACTTTTTGCTGTACTGGCACTCGACAGTTTGACGTTACTGAAAAAACGCCTTTGCGGTTAGATGATGATAAGCTTCTTGTTGAACAAGCAAATCGATCTTCATCCCTTTGTCAGGCGCGAGAAAAACGCTCAAGTTTCTCCGTTCGTTGGCCTAATATTTTTACTTCCGATATCATTTCCTTAATCGCGAAAAATATTTGAAGAGGACGCATAGAAAGCAGTCATCGTGTTTTCAAAGCCGAGCGTCATTTTACAAACGTTTTAATAAGATTTGTTCACACCGCCGTGAAAGTGGATGTCGAAATGTTTCTTTGGATGTGTGTGCAGGCGTAGAGGCGAAGGTCTACGAGGTCTACGAGGTCTCAAGTGTTTATTGTTAGACATGTATTCTCTTTATAACCTTGACATGATCTATTGCTAAAGACATAATGCTAACCCTCAGAGGCAAGAATAGCTAAATATTCTGTGCACAAACATTTTGAAGCTCTCTTTCAAGATATTTTTTATAATTTACTTAGGCATGCAATCATCCGTCCGTGTGAGACGACGCGAAAATTAAATACTAAAAAAATATGTTCGCGGCGCGTTTTTTTACACAGCTTTATTGATATTTTTTTTTTTGTAGTTTCTCGTAGTTATTATGTTATTTCATAAAAATATCTTTTATTAACATATTAGTAATTTAATAGTTATCGACAATCAAGGAAAATGTCAATCATTACTCATTATCATGTAAGTTCTAATTATGATGTAAATGTACTGAAAGTTATCTTTAATATCTTTTACATAACCATAATAACTAAATAACGAGATTAGAATGCAATTCTATATTTGTTTTCTAATTATTTGATATCAAAGTGGACGCCCTTTCTAAGATCATTTCCCGAATCGAAATTGCAGGGCTCCTAGTAAAAATGTCTTACATTATAAAAATTCTGATTGTTACGAATAGCAGAGAATGTCAATTTCCAAAGTGTTGTTTACTTCATAATTTAATCGATCATGTTTAATCACTTACTTAACACTAAAGTTTATTGGATCCAATAACTGGCTATTCTTATTTGCAACTATTATATTAATGGATGGAATCAAATCCCGCGGTACTTAAATTTGTTAAAATTTATTACGATTAGGTTGAAATAACATGTAAAATAATGTATTTTCGTAGATGTAACATTTATTGTATTCTGATGTAGTACAAGATACATATTTCATAGATGTACATATCGGTTACCTATATTTGTAATAAATATGCGAATATATATTTTAGAAATGATAGCAACTAAGCTTTATTAACTAAACTATTACAAAATGAAATGTACAATAAATGAACAGCCATAATTCTCAAACAGAAAATAGTTTAATACTCATAATTACTTTTTTACCCATACTTGCATAAAGATATATACCGAATAAAGAAAAGCTAGATTACTAGCATAATATTTTGTTCTCAATAAAACAAATGCTGAAAAATCCTTGTTGAACTTTTTAGAAAGAAATAGTAGAATAGAACTAAAGTTCTGCCTATTATTATCGAAATTATGAAATTGTTTTTTCTATAGTTTCAAATAAAATATTATTCAGTTTGCACGGCGATTCCCTATAAACACAGCGGTTTATGGTTGATCAACGCTTATTATAACATTGTTATATTCATTTTTTACATTACGCCAATTCAACTCGACATATAAATATTTTACGACATATTAATAAATCAAAACGTTTTCCTTATCCGCAAAATTCCGATGCCTGGCAATTATTGTGTGTTCACATAATAAGTCTGATCGTAGATATTTCAATTTGCGGATATATTCACGAAATTTAAGAAAAACTTTATAATATTTTGCAAGTATAGGTTTAATACAATGTATAGTAAAATGAACTTAAAAAAAGTATATATTTTGTTGTTCACTATTTCAGTTTTCTATAAATAATTGCTTTTTGCTTGTTTTGTGAAGCTTTGATATAGGCTATAGACATAAATTGTACTCACTTAAAACATCAGATTTTATGATTTTTTAGTTTTAATTCTTTATATTATTATTTGAAACTGGTTTTACTACCGCACATATAGCACAAATTAACCCACCAAGAAAAATGGCAAATGATATATATTTATTAAAAACTGTGCGTTTCACCTACATTAAAATTTTAAAAGATTGGTGGTTTAAAAGAACTTTAAAGTTTTGAAATATATTGAAATAAAAATAAAAATTAAAAGTCAGCAATGAATTTCATTGATAATGAATTTTATTAATACTGAGTTTTATTAATAAGCATACCAAATGTTGAATATAATTTTTGGAAGCTTTAATATTGAAATTTTCAAATTAGCTTAATAGTATTCACAAATGTCTTTTATAAAGGCCTTCATGAGATAATAACAATAAAAACCAGTTGATTTTGACACACATCAAATAATTTGTTATTATTGACAGTACTTATTTAATATTGTGCGTTAAACATCATTCATGTGTTTGTTTATGTGCAAAAACTGTTTACTAAAATGCCACAAACACGTTTACATATACGACATGTATAAAAACAGTGTACAATTAATATTTTTCAATGTTATAAATAGTACAAGTGTTATGATGTATTATAGGTATCAATAGCTAAAAAATTTTGGCACATATAAATGTGTTCCAGACCATTTTTCTCTTATTGAATACATGCAAAGACAATTTATCCTAAATATGATAATTTGATTCATCAACGTAGTACTTAATTGTATAATCTTTGTATAAGTGTCTTGAGATCAGAATAATTTGAATATGTAATGTTGCAACATTAAATTCAAATCAGTTGATTTGGAATTTCCAAAGATATAAATAATTTTTTTAAATAAGATAGTTTTCTCGATACTTCTTTTGTAAATGACTAAGAAAATAACTTTAGTTATATCTAAAAATTGACTTTTTATTGGTTAATTGATTAATCATTGACCAAACCTTTTGTAAATTTAAAAAATTTTTAACGAACAACTTTAAAACTATATATTCTAAATTTGCATAAAAATTTGTTTATGTTAAATATATCAGATAAAAATACTGTAAATTTTCTAACATCAGTAATATATAACTAGATTTTCTATACCTTTACTAAATTTATAATTTTGAACTTCCTTAAAATTTATCTATATACTTAATTCTTGCATGCAATTCTCATTTTAAAAATTCTATGAGTCTTGACTTACGGTTGTATTATTTAATCATAAACATGTATCAATAAGTATTATTTTTAGATGATGTTAATTGAAGCTAATTTTTATTTGCAAAAAATGTCAAGTATCAATTAAGTAAGAATTTTTCATTTTACATTTCCAAAAGTCACCAGATTAGTCTATTCAAGGTTGCAGAAATATTTAGTTTCCATATTATTAGTTAGATAATTAAAAGAAAAATTATTGAATCATTGATACTGATTTAAGTAATCCAAAATTAAAAATTTACTTTTTTTTTCTCAAAATTTTTAAATAAAACTTTCAACTTATGATATTCAAGTACATTGTTGATGGGTACAAATTCATAATACATAATTTCATTTTAATTTTTCTATCAAATCATGCAAATCATCTTTTTCTGTCATAGTTAAGACTCCGTCTTATATGGAGTTGTTAATTAAAGCAACATTTTACAAGCAAGTAAACCATTGCTGCTTGGAAGCATAACAAAATATGATGCTTAAGAAGCTAAGAGAATAACTTAGAAGCTATTAATTGAAATTATTTTGATTTAAATTAATAAAATTCTATCCATTTTTGCATTTGGCCCCGTGCACCAAATTAACATGCACATTTATTATTTTATTTGTCTTTAGATTTCTTATGTATTGTATTTTTTATGATTTAGAGCACTGATTAAAAAAGCATTTTGAAAGAAATATTAAATGCCAATTCGATAACATAAAATAAAAATTGTTGCTTTCTTACAATTATTTTGTGGGCCAAGATATATATACAATACATTATTTATTTAAGAATAACTATTGTAAATGAAATCAACTATTAAAAATTATAAAAATAAAACTTATTATGATAAATAATAAGATAATTGCAAATATTTAAAATTTCCTTTACTTTAAACGTGGCGTTGTCCTGTTATTTGTCCTGCCAACAATTTTGTTACGTAAGATGTTAAAGTGTCCATGGACTTGTAACAATTGAGCTTTGAGAGAATCTGTAAGTTGCTTCTGCAGTTGCTGAACTTCATGGATATCTTGGCGCAGAACTTCATATTCTTCTTTTACTTGTGTTACTGACCGCAGTAAACGAAGAACTGACACAGGCTATAATATATTGATTTCCAGTTAATATTTCAATATTATTCATATTTATTAAATAAACGTAACATAATAATTATATACCTCTGATTCTGTATCTTGAAATTCTTTCTCAAAAGCATCAATTTGCCATGATATCATGTCGAGTTTCCCATCAGCCTTCTGAACCTAAAAATATGATATTCTAATTTAAATAATTGCTATTATAAATGAAAGTATTGCAAACTATGTATACTATTTTTATTGAATTAAAAAATGATACGATCTTATAATAAGTTGTTATTATTATAAAACTGTTAATGTTTGGATGTGAAATAAAAAATTGGAGTAAAACTAAACTCACGCTTTGTTCCAAATTCATAATAGCAGATTCCATTGTATTTGAAGTTTTTGGGAATCCCAGCAAAAGAAATAATAGTTGATATTAAGGTGATAATAGTTGTAACAGTAAAATAGCTCTAAGAATCCTGAAAATAGGTCAACCGAAGCGAAACACAAACTGATGTTTTATTCCTCTACGAAGTACGAACCATCGATTTTCGCCTACGGTTAGACGCCGCTAGCGGGGCTTTTGAAATGATGTTTCATAGAATATCCTTTCGATGGCAGCACGTACGAGAGCCAATTTAGTCTGCTGAATATGACGTCACACAACGATCATTTGCTCTGTTTTCATGAAAGAAAAGGATAAGCCTTTCATTTTTTAATTGTTAAATTTGTTTCGTGTTTTTTGGATGTTTGTACCAAAAAGTTTTATTCGAAACGTATTTTCCTACTAATAACCCAATATTACATTAAAAAATATATGTTTATGCTGTATAATGTTTTTAGATAAAAATATGTGAAAATTCGCCCAAATCAGAGCCGAAAGGACGAAACTTATTTTATTCTGTTTGAGTTTGACAGATTTATAACCTAAAAAAAATTAAAAAAATAAATACATTTTCTAGATCTCTTCTAAAGCGTTGAAGACGAATGATATTCAATCCGATGTGTATAATCGGTTAATATTTTATTTATTTAATTGTTCGAAAAATATTTTAATACTTTAATAACATTTTGTTCAAAGTTTATTGAAATATGGAAGTATCTGTTTTTATAAAAAATTACAATAATAAATATTTATAATTTTTTAGAAAGCTGATGTTTTATTAACAGGCTAAAACAATTATGAAGATACAAGTATGTCTACTATTATTGATGATAAGATCGTTGCAGGAGCACAAGATCCAAATGTGGTTAAAGAGGATCCAATTGTTATACTGACAGTATGTTATTTCATTTATTATTCAAAAGACAATATATCTAAAATAATTTTCTTTATTACATCATTCTTTAGGAAAAAGTAAAATCCCTTTATTTTTTTCGGGATCATTACTTTGAAAACCATTCAATAGAAAATGCCATAAATAAACATATAGATGTTGAAAATGAAATGAAAAATACCTTAGCTAAATTTGATGAATGCAAAGGCTATGAAATTGATGGAGCAAGAGCCAAGTATTATTACCTAAAAGGAAAAACTTTCAATGTAGTTGATAAATTTACTCCTCAAGCAGAAGAACTGCTAAGTAAAGCTGTTAAACTTGAGCCAAAATTGATAGAAGCTTGGAATGAACTTGGTGAATGTTATTGGAAAAATGATGATATTCAACAAGCCAAAAATTGTTTTGTTGGAGCTTTGCCTCATGTAAGTTAATTTTTATTTTATAAATAATATTATTAGTAGTTCGTTGTATTTTTTATCAATTACTTTTAACTTGAAATATTTTTTGACAGGGAAAAAATAAAGTTTCTCTTAGAAATTTATCAATGGTACTAAGGCAAGAAGTCGCGTCTACAAAAGAGCAAAAGATAAAAAATATCCAGCAAGGTGTCGAATATGCAAGAGAGGCTGTTAGCTTGGATCCTTCTGATGGCATTTCATGGTCAATTTTAGGAAATGCTTATTTATCTTCCTTTTTTACTATAGCACAAAATCCTTCCATACTAAGATTATGTATGTCTGCTTACTTACAAGCGGTAAGTTACTTGTCGTATGCGAAGACAATAAATTAATTGACCGAATGATGCAATTAAATAATTTTTTCAATACTTCTTATTAACTATTGCTTTTATTTGTTTATATATTAACTTAAAATCTATTGTGTTGCAGGAAAAAGATGTCATTGCTAAAAGTAATCCTGATTTACATCACAATAAAGCTATGGTATATTAATTCTTCAAGTAATTTTATAATTTTATGTCTACATTTTGTTATATGTTAATTTTTTTCTTAGACTTTAAAATATCAAGAAGAATATAAATTAGCTTTAGAATCTTTTCATCAAGCTTCATTATTGGACCCTACTTGGGATACACCAAGGGATAAACAAAACGAACTATTAAAATATCTTAATAATGTTCAAACATCAATTAATACTAAAGGCAGTATTAAACCAAAAAAATTATTCCAAATGATTCAGGTAAATAAATATCAATAATTAATTCAGCTAATTGAATGATAAAAAATATTGATGTTATGCTTGGTATGTCAATGTAGAGTCTTAATCAAAAACATTTAGGACCCTACAAGGGTGGATCTTATACCTCGGGAGATAAGTGTGTAAAACTAGAGCTAGTCCACCTGAATGATTTAGTTCCTGGAATTAACTTGGAAAAAGTTGTTTTTGGTAAAGTTGTATGTTGGATCCAAGATTCTGATTCAGTGCCTTTGTAAGTAATTTTTAGATTAATTGTAGTGATTTTTTAGATTTAAATTTAAAAGAAATTTACATATATTAATCTATTATTTTCAAATCGTAGTGCTTTTTGCATGGTAGACGAAGATAAAACTTGTATGGCTGTGACTCTATATAATTTAGCGAAAGGAAAAGGAGTTACTGTTGGCGATTCAGTTGCGATTCCCGAACCATTTTTGACGAAGCATAATTTTTCATATTTAGATAATGTAACTTCTTTATAAATATTATTAGTACGCTAATGAAACCTAACAATATTTTGAATTCATGATTTTGATTTTAGAATTTCGAATTTAAATCAATACGAGTAGAAACACCAGTGGTTCTGATTGTAAATGGAAGGAAGTTAGGATTAGATCAACAAGCCAACGTGAAAATGTCAACTTTCAAAAAAAGCAACTAAAATTTGGTAAAGATCATCAATGATAATTCATAAAACTTTTATTCAAAGTTAACCGACACACGAAGGGAATATTTTTGTATCGTAAATTATTTCATTTTTCAAACCTAAACAATTAGCGTCGTCATTAGCTTTCTTACGTAAATGGAAGTACCATTTAATTAATTTAGGAAGTATACACATGGTCAACTATACGTTATAGTATGAAATTTAACAATGTAATTTTAAATTGTAAAATTCAAATAATGCACCTTATCCTCATACGCTTACCGTGATTGATTATTATACTAAAATGAAATTTACGTAATGAAACGTAGACCTCTAAAAAGGCAAGGTAGATTTCCGGATCAAGCGTGATATGAATCTTCCTTTCTCTTTATTTATACATAGTGTTTCATTAAGTAATATTTTTAATAAATTAGTCTTGTCATTAAATTTATATTTGAAAATTACACAAAATTATAAACTGGAATATACGGCTCTTGATTGTATCCATTCTATGTTATTACTCAAAATACTGATAAACCTATAGTTTTAATTAAGCGCGTGCAAAATACTCATCAGATAGACATCAATGTTGCACATAATATGTTATTTTATTGAAAAAAATATATTTATGTTCTCACTCTTTCATTATCGTGTTACTTGTTTCTGTAAGTTTAAGAAAAATTTTATATAGCATATTCTAGTTTTGAAAAAAAAACTATTTATACAGTATCAGGCCCTTACTTTACTTCTTACATATTTCTTATAAAAAGATTTTTTTAAGCTAAGATTTGGAATATAAGTTTTACATGCCCAAATTCAAACGAATTTCTAACGGCATCTATAAGTTTTCAAATATCTTCTCAAAAAGTCCACCCGTGTTAGAACCTAATATCTATGCTACACGCACGCGTACACACGCACGCACACTCTCATGTACTTAACACTATTATGATAGGTCTCTAACTTTCCATGTCTCTATCAAATCGATTGCTAAAGTATAACAAATAATTTACTCGAATTTTCCTGAAAGATTCTTTACAAGGAAATTGTAAAAAAATAATTTTTCATTAATCTAGTCTCTTATAAACCCTTTCATTATAAAAATACCAAGAATCGTCCAATCACGCTCCATATCCCGATCAGGTCGATTACTAAAGTACATATTGATATATCTACATCTCGAACTCACGTCTATTCAAGATGTTTATCGAAATTGTTATTTTTTGCTATTTTTATGCTGTAAGATATTTTAAATTCATTAAATTATTTAATAAAATAGTAGATCACTGTTACCGCTATCACCATAATCTATCGTATTAACTTTTACATGGATAATTGGGGCTTGATTTACCAGTGAAAAAATATCTTTAAGAAACCAGAGCATCATGGGAGACGGGACTAAATGTGAAAATGCTATATTACCGTTTGATCTGCTTTTCAATAAAATACCCTCGATAAACCTGGGGCATCGTGAGATATGAATAATCTGATCAAATAGTTTTATAAGGTACCGGTATGGCTTGTTATTATTTTTCTCCACGCTAATATTTTCAATGAACCGCCGAGAAGATATTAGAAGGGGTTCTGGGCCATCGTGTGACCAAAAGCTGAACGAAAGAATCACCAGTACCATTGAATCAAAGAATCAGACTTCTATGATAGTTCAAAAACTTGAAGTATTGGTAACTGAATTTTTCGAACTTGAGATTTTTATTAAAAAAATTTAAATACTTATAAAGTTTTATAATAGTCAAAAAAGAGAACGCCATCCTTGAATGCTTGAACAATTTTAATGCAAATAAAAGCTCTGTGTAAATAAGTCAAGTTGATCGATTTGGCGTTGAAAGCTCCAGCCAACTGGATCGTTTCTAAGCAAGAGCTATCCAACGACAGGTCAATCTGAAGAGCGATCCTCCGAATGCTCTGTACTAAGCGAAAGCTGCCACTCCCCCAACGATAGGTTGACTTCGAGTATTATCCCCCGAGAACCCATCTTAGATAGACCGATCTTCACAGCAGGTTCATTTCTAGATTGAACCCCGAGAACGATAGATTTATTTATAAATTAAACCGTAAAGGTAACCCTGAGTTAAAGGGGATATCTTTTCCTTGATTTCGGTTGTTTAGAAGTTTAAATTTAGAGTTCATTCTGTTGTAAAAGTTATTTTCGCTCAGTATAAGGGTTTAATCTAGAGATAAATCTTTCGTGGGGATAACTCTAGTTGAGCAGTGGGTTCTCGGATATCGTTAACCTTTCATGAAGGTAGTTCTTACTCTGTACAGAGTTGTTGGGAATTGCATTTGCAGTTGCCCTGTTACGGGAGTAGCTGTCGCTCAGCTGAAAATCTCGGGGTTTTAATATAGAGTTCAACTTATGACGAGGAAAGCCTTCGTTAGGGACAAAATTTTAGGAGTTCGAATCTAGAGCTTGACCTCTACGGTATGGAGTGCTTGAGGTTTTAATCCTAAAAATAAACGCTTATTATCGTTTATTTTAATCTTCGCCTCGCTTGGCTATAAACCTCACGACATAAGAATCTACTTTCTCGCACTAAGTAGGTAATATACTGTTAAAATGAGGATCCTATGCAAAAAGTAAAACACTTGGTTTTGTTGATCGAAGCTAATGTGTTCTGTTATCATAGGACATAATAATGAAAATTATTATCTTATGATGGAATAATTTAATAATTTAAAATGTACGGTTTTTGACTAGATAATAATTATTCAGCAATATTAAAGACTATGCGAGGAATATTTTCAAACATTATTCGATTTTTTTGATTGCAGATTACCTATTTACTGATTACAAGATTTCTCATGGGACTGCGTTAGGATTGTAGAACATACCGATTTATTATCAACGAAAAGATCATTTTTAACTCTGCTTTATGTGTCATTTATGCATACTGGCTAAAACAAGCTTAATACTGTAAAAATTTATTTTCTATAATTAAGATAAGAATATTTAAAATGAGTCTGTGTATTTATCTAAATAAACTAATAATCTAAACTATTCTCCAAAACTATCAATATATTTTATTTACATATTTCCAATTTTTTATTTCGAATTAATAATAAACGAATAAATAATTTTTTATTCATGTCTAAATAAAAATATGGAAAATCAATATTCCTCTAAACTCTTGAATAAATTAATTCGGTGAGTAAATATAATGCAGAAATGTTGGTTCGGCTGATATTTGACATTTTTTTAAAAACAAAGAGAAACCTACAATGTATGTTCGTAATCAGAAATTGAGTATAAAATTAAAAACAAAAATGATAAACATGTATCACTTGGAATGGTATTACGTTAAGGCTTTGCGAACAAACAGCTACAAAGACACAGCAGTTACAAAAGCAAAGATAAAACAGATCTGGAGAAAGAAGCAGCGGTAATAATGGAAGTATGAAATCTTAGTGGAATGAACAATGCATTATGTTATACCAATCCTCTAATCAGTTTTAACGCTAAATTAAATACTTTTATGGAAAAAATGTTTTTATATATTTAAAGGAATAATTGATTGAAAAGATTTATTTATTGCTTCCACATGATGATGTATGTTTACAGTGTTTGTAAATTTGCTATATAATCACAATTATTTTTATAATAAATGTATAACTTTCTACATACTTTTTTGATAAATATATCAAAATTAACCAAATGGTAAAAATATGAGGACGAGCTTTGGAATAATTATTTTCAAAAATTGCACCGACAATCTTATTATATATCGGGCATATATATGACCGACGTTGAGACTTAATTTTTACACGCTAGAGCGCGAACCTCCACTGATTTCAGGCTCGCGTAGGAGCGCTAACGTTAAATCTTGATTTTCGCATGTGTGCCGTAAAATATCGAACGATACTAGAAGTGATTTCAGCTCCGCGTCCCTTTTTCATCCACGCTTTGCGCTTTGCTGAAAGCATCCACGTCAGGATGAAATCACTCGAAGACTCTTTAGTAACGTCATATTATACAATTGAGCCTTACAAAAAAGTTTAATTTAAGTTACCATATTGGTTCAATATTGTTATAAATATTAAAAAATTATTTTAAAAAGCGTATAAATAATCTATACAAGTATCGACGTAATTCGACGCTATAACAATATTTTAACATAAATTACTTAAGAGTATCTAAAAAAATATATATATATATAAATATATAACTATAAAATTGACTTGAGAAATTTCAAAAATACAGACACTGAAAATTAAATAAAAAATCTTCGTTTCATCATCACTTTCCTCAACTTTCCTTTGTCAAAATGTTATCATGGTCTGCAGATTTATCTTTCGAACTAAATTACTCGTCATTGCAAAAAGAATAAACTAAAAAAGTGTTATCTGCCTAAAGCAATTTCCCGATGTTTGAGTTGACTGGCACTATATATTTGAGAATCCTAGGTAATATTACACTGCTCTCTCGCACACGTTCTTGCAAGCCTGTAATTCAGTATAATAGATACGACGCATAAGCGCGCAGCTAGTAAATTGCATGGAAAAATCCCGAATTCTAAAAAAAATTTGAAACAGTATCGTAAGGAAAAGTCGGAGATGTTCCTTGATTGTGCGCTTGAAATGCGGTGTACTCGAAAATACTCGTTGCAGGATCGTCGAATCTCCGTGTTGGAGACTCGCCGATATTCAAAATAAAGGAGGATAAAAGAGGCATCGGCAAGACGAATTCGCAGCGAAGGAGAAAAGGTGGATAGAAAAATGTGAATTGACTATAATAAGGATGAGACAATAAATAGCTAAGAGTAAGGATACAGCAGAGCAGCAGTTAATAATGTTGGTCGTATATAGCTGGTCGCAGCGGAGTGAGAGAGCGATTGCGGAGTGAAATGTGCTGATCCATGTAATAGCAATCGTCCCATGCACGCGCGCGTGTATTCAGTCGGTTCTCGAGAGCGAGTTGAGCTAAGCGCAGAGAGTGAGAGGGAGATCAAATGGTCAATTGCTTATCGAGCGCCGCGCGCACACATTGAGGCAGGTAGTCGGCCGAGCAGCGGGTACACGAGCAGACCGCGAGACTCGTGCTCGGCCATTGCTGGATAATGGCGACGTGCTACTAAACTAATGTCCGCGAGGCTGGGGATCGGACGCGGACGGGCAAGGGGGGACAGGGACGCTGTTCGCTCGCGCGCGCCTAGAGTTGCTTTGGTCCTGCAGCAGCCGGTCGCCAGTTGGATCACATGTTCACCTCCCACAGCTTGAAATAGTTGTCGATCACCTCGAGGAACCACTTTTGGCGCTCGGGCTCGCGGAACAACGGCGCCAGGGTGCGCAGATGCAGCTGCAGCAGCGCCTCGTTGCCGAGCAGCGAGTCTAGCTGACGAAGCAGAGCCGCGTCGCCGTGGAGCTTCAGCAGACTGGCGTAGGTGAATATGTAGTACTGGACTCGCAGCTGCTCGACCGCCCAGGCCTCCACCGAGCGATTGCCCGAGGCCGACTGTATGGCACCCATGTGCTCCGCGTACCACGGCGAGAAGTAGTTGCTCAGCTCCAGGCTCGACAGGTCGGCCACTCCGCGAGTCTTCAGTCGTTCCTTTATGCGCTGGTACACCTGTGGACTGTACACGAACACCTGCAACAAACGACCAATCGTCCATTGACGACCTTTATCTGTCATCTTTCGCGCCGACTGCAGACTGCAGTCTTTTGGGAAAAATACTAATCGAGTCTTTCCGCTTGAGCAAGTACCTGCGGCGCGAGAAACGTCTCCCTGCGCTTTTCCGCCGGATCCCACGGTGTTTCGAGAGAGGAGAGAGAGAGAGAGAGAGAGAGAGAGAGAGAGAGAGAGAGAGAGAGAAAATTGTGCAACTGCATTTTTAAACTTTTTACAACGACGAGTTTTCAAAAGCCCTTGAATATAATACATACGTCTCTTGCTCGGGAAAGATTTCCTCATCTTGTAGTTAGTGCGGACTAACACTATTTTAAAGTTTCGATGTAATTTCGACAGTTTTCTCCATTACATGGAATATTGTTACTTGAGCAAATCAGCTTTATTTTAAGAGCCACGTGATTCAGCCGAATTGGATGTAGGTACGAGGATTTTTTCGTTTGATGTGCTTCCTGCTAAAGTTTCGCGAAGAATAGCACAGTTTTTTTATGGACAATTAAACAACTACAAAAAAGTTCTTATTTCGAGGGTACAGCCAATCTGAGACCCTTTCTCTTTTGATTATTTATAATTATGAGGCAGTCTCTTCTTCAAAGCAATAACAAGATCTAGTCAATTTTGCATAATTCTCACAGCTCCTTAGTTGGAAAAATCGGATTCGCTACGTACGTTTTTGAAAAATGAATTCTCTTTATTAAAGAACTGTTGCCAAATAAATATTTTCTGCAGCGATAATAAAACTTCTTGGCAGACAATTTATTAATTACCTTTTTATGCGTTGGAATGCTGCTTCACAATTTAATTCATGATTCATTACGTCTTTACTGGAGAGAAGTTCAGGAATTGAGTAACAATCGATTATTTATGCAATTGCGCTTGTATCGTCGATCGCTAGAGAAGATACTTTTTAAAACAACTTACAAGTTTCAAGTAGATTTTTGTAGCGATTGCACGTACAAGTTGGCAATGTAAAGACCGTAATGCACTGTCAGAGCCTCGGATTCATAATTAACTTTTCGAGTACAATAGCTGAATTATCATTTTTAAATCATAATTCACTTTGATGATTTGAAAGTTTGAATGAAAAGACATATAGTCTTTACTTGATAAAATATAAATTTCAGTGAATCACTTTGATGGCAAAAATGGAAATATTATCTTGAAATGAGTCGCGCACACACACACACGGCTATTCGAAATTATCAAACAGGAAGCTCGCGGCTCGCAATTTGACGTTGTTACGTTGAACACACTACAGCATAATGAGTAAGTGTTAAAATTATCATGCTTCACTTCAATGTACAAGGTTAGACCCAGGCAATTAAATCTTGACTCTGACAAATGACGTAAAACTCATTTTCCATTTCCAAGAGCATCCATGAAAAGAATAGTCTTTACTTTACTGAGATTGCTTTCTAAAGGATTGTGAAAATATTATCTGAAAGTGGTGAAATAACGAGCTGATATCTACAAATTTTTACTAAAACATTCTTAGTTCGGTAAATTCAGTTAAAGCTTTATCCATATTGAAGACGTTTTGATCTCTCGCGTCTTTTCGCTGTGCACAGTATTTCGGAGCAAAGCTGTTATACAACTTTCAGGTCGCTTACTTAAAAAGCGGTGATGCAAACTATCACTGTAAGCCAAGTATACCAAGTGATAGCACATTACCTTGCATGTTTATGTAGCAGCGCCTCAAGATGCCCACATGCACCTTAGTTTGTGAACTTTCCATGATTTTTATGTAATATGCAATTAATTTTACAAAAAAGCTGACTTTTATGGCATTCAGTTTTGAAAAGAAAATAAAGTATGTCTGCAAGTCGTTAACTCGAAGAAAATATTTAAGCGACCGCAATAGAAAGTGTCAATATTATACACGTTTAGTCGAACGCTTAATCAATTGAAAACACGAGATCGCTCTTTGGATAATCGTACGGTAATGATGACGTATCCTAGATGTACTGTATTTGCGGCCTTTGTGTTTCGAGCAAAAAATTAATAGCTGTCGGTCCGGAAATAACTGTTCAAGGTATCGTGCTATAAAGTGTATTATAGCTGGAGATGCATGGATACCGAGAGGTTTAAGCGATCTAAGGTTTCGTAGGCGTTCATCCATGTACAATAAATTTACACGAGTGAATATACACCACAATATATAGTGAATTGGCCCCACGAGACTTTTATACGCGCAATATCATCGAATAAAATCAAACATTTATGTATGCACAATAATGTGTTAACGGTCAGATTTAAAAAGGAAACCCTCAACATTGCGCGTTGAATTCGAGTCTGGTCTATCCGCCGGGATTCATCTAAAACAAATATATCCGGCGAAACGTCGCGTTTCCAGAAAATCTGGATTCATCAGACGTATATCAACTTCCCGATCAATATTCGACTGGATTCAAAGAATAATACGAATAAAACTTTGATTTTAATCAAGTGACGTTAATGTAGTAGACAAGTGATATAACGATATACGCGACTATTATTTCGCTGCGGATGTCGAGCGAGTGTCGAATAACAAGCCAAGTGAGTTGTCGGTGTCGCAAAAGGCATTCTGTCTAAAACGATTAAGCGTATGCGTGAACGAGTGCAATTTTCGGACTTGACTATGCGCGTTCGACGAGGGCTTCATCGCGGAATCGGGAGAAACTCGAGGCTTTATAGTAACAGCTGGTGTGATCGAATTCCCGCTATAGAGCCAATGTGATTAGCCTTTGGCACGCGCTATATGCGCCGAAATGTATGCGGTGGAGATACATAACAGGAATATATACCTGGTAGAGCGAATTGCCGGTGACGTAGCTGGCGATGTAGTGGGAGCCGAAGTTCTTGATGAATCGAATGACACTAGCGGTGTCACCGATGGTGACGTTGTCAGCCTCGCGAGCGACTGCCTCGTCGAGGAGCAGCGAGTCGATGCTCTGCACGGGCGCCTGCAGCCTCTTGGCCTCGCGGAAGCGCGCCACTCGCACCAGCACGTAGCAGTGGTCGCCGGTGATGAAGGACGAGTTGATGCCCAGGTGCCTGGCTATCGCCGCTCGCGACCAGCTGCCCGTGAACGCTCGCCACGGACGCTGCAGGCCCTCGAACGTGAAGTCCCGGAAGTAGCCCTGCCGACAAGCACAAGCTCTGAGGCCTCTCGCAAGCTTCCGTACCGCGCGTATCGCGCGTATCGCGCGAGCGCACAATATTCCAGAGCAATCGACGACGGACGCGCACTTGCACTCTTCGCGCCGGCTCAGGCATTTCTCGCGTTTGTGCGCTGAATGATTCATCGGAAGCTTTCGGCCGAGCGAGCTAAGCTAGCCGCGCTCGCGGATCGTGACAAAGCCGCGGTACACCAACCTGCAAAAGTTGCCTGACGTTGTCGCAGAACTCCATGTGGAAGTCTCCGTCGAATATGACGGTGGCCTTACCCAGCTTGTTGGGCGCCGGCTGGGGGTTGCGAAAGACGTCGAGGGTCGGCTCGCGGAAGATCCAGGTATCGCTGTCGTTCCTGGGCACCACCCTCATGCTGATGCTGAGGTAGCCGTAACGACTGAACACGTTCACTGCGCCGCCGAGCCTTGGCTTCTGCTGCTCGGACAATCGCAGCCGCACCACCAGTACCAGCACCACCAGTACCAGCTGCGTCCTTCCCTTCCACATGCTCCCGCCACCTCTTTTACCTCGATCGCACCTGCAATCATCGTAATGCCATGTATCTACTGGTGTCTTAACTTTCTCTCTCTCTCTTTCTCTCACTCCCTCTCTATCTTTATATATATATATATAGGTACAGCAGAGAGCAGTCGTTCGGGTACCCATGCCGTTCATTTTTTCGAAGCAATACGGCGCTCTGCTCAATTTGTCTCGTCGCTTCTCTCATTTTTCGCAGCGAAAATGTTTTGAAAGCTCCTCCGTGCCCTACTTTTCACCCTATTCTTAACTTTCCTCATTTTTAAGCTGCTGCTTTTCTGTTCTGTTTTAACGCGCTTTTCGTTATTGCGACTCGCGCTAATTGGCCAATCGCCGTCGGTATCTATTGTCGCAGCTCCGGCCGTGATATTTTTATTTTGTCACAGCGTGTTAGAGGTGTATATAGAAAATTGCTCGCTGGAGAAAAGCCAAGAAAGGCGCTTATTTGTTTTTTCTCACGTGCTAGTAAAGTGCTTGCGTAATCAGCAATGAGAAAGAGCGCGACGCGCATTTAACCAAAACTATCGGCCTGTGAACATCGTTGTTCCGAAGCTGTTATGCCGTGGAAAGATTGAATATACAACAAGTTTACTTTGGAAGTACTTTGTCAATTTTTAATTGTCAGTTGATCGAAAAGTACTTGCTAAAATTCGACGAGAAACTTGAGCAAAAAGCATCGTGCTCAAGTATGCGAGTGATTATGACTACAGGCATGGTTAGGTAAAATTATTCATTGCCTTCTCGTGTACTTTCAGTGCCGTCAACTAAATAGTAATTGTTGTTTGTACTTTAAACAGGCCACTTGTTCGAGAATCATTCAAGCGTTGTGCATACTAGCATTATAAGCAGAGTAAAAATTATGCAAGACAAACAACGAGCGACGGCAGATAATTGATATTAAAATGCAAATTTAATACTTGCAGCTGTGGCAAAGAAGCCTGTAAATTTGATTAGCTTGCGGATGGTCAAATAGGCGAAATACCTTTCGCGCAATGAAATGTAATCTGCATTAAACTATTTGCTGAGAGAAAAGATTGGGGCGAGAGATTTGGTCCGAAATGCCTGCAGGCGAGGAAGAAGTGAGGAAAGCGAGGCCAAACCGGCGTGGCTCTCTTTTTCTCTCTCTCTCTCTCGCGCGCGCGCTAGCATAATATTCCGTGCGGGCGCGTGAGTGAACTCGCGAAATCTCGGCAGTCTCTCTCTCGCTCGCATAAGTGCATGTATAGCTATGGTATAGATAGCAATACGCTCGCTGCAGCAGCACGACTTTCCTTTATATTGTGTCGGCTGCACTTTATGTAGGTCTAGGTGTGTCGCCAACAGCCAGTGTCGTTACACTGGCATGACCATCGAGTCGCCGGCATGGCCTTGCGAACCAGCCCCCACTCTAAGCGCACCTACATGTATACCTGTCCGTCGTTCAATGCCACTTGGCCGTTACTTCTTCTTATCGCGTCCCCGATATCTCTCGCTCTTTCGCGCCTTGCGACTTTGATCGAACGAAAGGGGCCGGAATACGTGAATTCGATTCACCTGCAAATTTACGCTTTTGCCTCCGACAGACTGCAGCCTACTAGCTTAACTCTCTTATTTTCCTCGTCGCACTCCCCGCATCACGAGATTTCATTGCGTTTGTTTTGCCGTCATTATTGTATTTCGCAACGCCACTTTTTCGCAACTTTGACTTGGCTTTTTATTAGTCGCAGTAAATTGCCAGGCTTACTCACCCGCCAGAGATAACATCTTTATGCAATGAATTCGCATTTATACAGGCTCAAATACACCTCTCGCCTGCTTCAAAATCACTTAGACTTTCATTTTCGGCTACGAATAACCATATTAAAACTCCAACGAAAATTGAGTCGTGCCTAACTTACTACGACTACACGCGCGCCCTATCAATTGCTACCATTTGATTAATCGTGTTTTCATCTCTCTGCTTGGCGATTTGTTGGACGTTAAATAACCTGCGTTACGTGAAAACCATCAGAGCATATTCATCGTCACAAAATTCTTACTTTCCAATCATCAATTACCGTCAATTATTAGTCAAAATAAATCCTGAAATTCAATCGAACAATATTTTTAAACAATAATTAATTTTTTTTACGAACAAAAGACAATGGCGCAGACATCCGAATCTATAAGTATATTTTTGTGGCCATACCAGTTTGCTTTTGGATCCGGAAAAGAAGGTTACACAAGTCGCAGAGTCTTTATAAGTATCTCGCGTGCATTCGTCGCGAACCCCTCTTGAAAGAATAAATTTAAAGAAAAAAAAATGTCGATTTACCAGCGATGTAAGTTGTGATTTATAGATTGATGAAAAATTGAAACATTAAATTTCAACTTATTTATTTGCGTCTTATTGCTTGAGCTGTCGCAAATGATCTGATCTCTGCGCTGCTCGTATCTTTTATTTTTTTAACGCGCTCATTATTTAACAATAAGACAAAAGAATTAATCAAATATCGAATGTACTTGACATAATATTAAACCTCTACAACTCCTACAAATTCATCGATTGCAGAGCTTAATAGTTCGCATTTCGCGGTAAGCGATGTAGTTCATATCAATATTATATTTCGTATTAATATTATATTTAGCTATTACTTGGTATCATTAACGCAAAAGTCAGTAAATTAGAAGATTACTGTTGCCTAGTTATTTATTAATAAGTAGTCCATAAAACAGTCATCTACAAATAGAATCGAGATTGTCAACTTTTTATTACTTTATTAAGAATCTTAAATATATTTTGAAAGTGTTATTCAGATGGCAAACTTGTGGAAATGAAAATGCTTTCCTTATTTTATAATAATATTCAATATTATCGTACAACCAGACGATATTTTTTAGTAAGTATAGTGCAGATTCTTTTGCTTGTCCTTTGTTACATACAAAAACGTAGCTTAGTTGAATGAAAGCTTACACGGCACCGTGTTAAATCATGAAATTTAGTGTACGTAACAAATGTTTTATTGTAATTTTATTCAATGTATAATGATATCTTCTGCAATATTATGAGCAAATTTAGTATTCATTCCTTGGACACTATAGTCAAGGACCCTTCTTAAGAAGATTCAATTTGGAAGTTAAAATCCGCTTGTGTAATATGTGGTCACTTACAGGTACATGTCACATCTTTGAATTGGTCAAAATAGATGATTATCTTGCAATGAAAATAGTTTATACATTAATCTTGAAATTGGCATGAATTTTTAACAGTGTTATCAAAGAATAGCTTATGTCCACGGCAAAATCACATGTGTAAAATTACACACGTCGTGTTATGTGTTGCTCCCATTTGAAATACATTAACTTTGAAATAGTACACTTGGATTCACGTAAAATTGGTGATAATCCACTTATAATCCTCTTTAATCCTCTTCTTTAATAAAAGGAGAACCTGACAAAGTGAAGCCAATTTATTCGTGATCCGATTGGCTGAGAGATAGTCACGTGATCAGCTGTTGTGCGATATTATATAGATATTGTGTACACTCATGAAAGATTACTGCACATTTTTGTAGATGATTAAATGTTCGAAAAATGTATCAGTATAACTGAAACGAATTTAATATGAATTGATTGATTTAATCATACTAACCTGAAAATATAAACCAACTGATACCTCGATTGAGAAATTAATTGAATTTTGCTCAGTGCGAAATTTTAGTTTTGAATATACAAAATAGGCAATAAAAAATATAAATCAATAGATTATTAAGATCAAATATTGTACAGAGCTTTCGGTTTTATTAAGTTGCTTAAAATATTAGACTTTTTTTTTTAAATGCACTAATTACAACCATGATGTTGTAATTAGTGCATTGTATCCAAATAAGTTATTCACACCGTAAACGATATAATTATAAGAAACTATAATATTTTTAGAATTTATGTTACACTTTTTAATGTGTTTTTTAAACTTTTGAGTGATGATTTTTCAACACACAGCTTCGGATAATAAAAAATTAAAACTTGAAACTTCATTGATAAAATTTTTAAATTATGAGTATCAACGTAACTGAATATTTATTTTCTAATAAATAATATCGTCGGCTATATCTTATGTCAAATCAAGGGAATATTTAAAGCATATTGAATTTATAATTTAAGCAATAAAAGTTTTGATCAATATTCATGCCTTAAAATGGATGCGAAAGAAAAACGAAAAAGATGAGCAAGCGTGCTAGGCGTCGCTAGTTTATTTAAATAGTAGCAACATATATAACGTGTACACTTTTGTACGCTGGTTCTGTCGTGGTCAAATCCTTTTGATAACATTTTTTTTATCTGAAAGCATTCAAAAGTTATCGGCAACAGTATTCCATCAAATAACAAGCCAATTATCTACAAAAGCATTTTATTGTCGATTTCATTGACAATTTTGAAAATTGCAGGGTATTTAAACGTTCCAACTCTTTTCAATAAACTTTTTTTTCTATTGAAAAGATTTTATGTCAAATTTTATTTGTTACTATTTAAAAACATCCATATTGCTTAACTTACAAGCTGTTTTGTTTAAAATTCATTATTTGAAATTGAAATGGCTAAAATTCTTGAATATATATTGATGTCGATGAAGCTCGTAAATGTAAAATCGAGTATTGTATCGAATGACTGTAGCTTCCTATTTATATTGTTATGTATAAATGGACTTGACATTTAAATTGGGAACGTATTTGTAAAAAAGTATAAATTTCAATTTTCATCATGTTATTGTACTTGTCTACGTTATTATCAAGCTATGTGATCTGGTCGATTCGCTATAGTCATTCTCAAAAATTCATTTTATAGTATAAATAAGACGGCAGATCATTTTTGTTAAATTTACATTTTATTTCCATGGCGCGAAAATTAAAAATCAATTTATAGTCGAGTACCGTGAAACACCAAAATAACGAGTGACGATATTATTCATAGAAAATTCCATAAACAATAAAAATAATGCAGTTTTGAAAATTTTAATTATAGCGGGAGATCCTGTCAAAACGG